GGGAGGAGGGGAGGGGGGTCATAATGTGAGTGAGTGAGTGTGGGGGAATGGGGGGCCGTGCCGGGGAGGGAGGGCGTTGGCGTTATGGAGGGTGGTGCGCGGGCCCTCCCTCGACCCGTACGGACGTATGTCGTACCTTGACGTCCTCGGCAGCCTGCATGAGCGCATCCGTGTTAACGTGCTCAATCTCCATTGTTAGCACGTCCACGCCCTGACCTGTCGGGTTTTGGGGTTTCGGGTGTGAGCATGTGTGCGTGGGGGGCGGGGGGAAGGGAGGTATATTGGGAGGGAAAAGGTGGGGGGAGGTTTGGAAGTGGTGTGGGTAGTTGAACGCAGGGTAGCGGCTGGGGGTTGGGGTATTGGAGGGGATTGGGGGGAAAACGGTAAACCATCGGAACACACATCATTCCACGTACGGTAATACGACATGGTACGGCAATGTCGAGATGATGTGTGTACGCACACAGGGCGGGTGAGCCGGTCCGAGGGGAATCCGGACAGCCACGTGGTAACGGCCTCTGGAGGATATCCCCAAACTCCGAAACCAAACCAAGACGACGCACACCACACCGCACAGCCGAACGCCCGCATCCTTTCCCCCGATCCCTTGGCACGTGGGAGCCTGATCATAACGGGTTAACGGTTTGCAACGGTTTCCAAACAGCTTAGCCACACGTGCCCGTCCGTGTTCGTGTGTACGTCTATATGCTTTAAAAAAAGCTACGCCAGTACGGAGAAGCCACGTGTATTTGTGTTCTTGCGTGTTTTGTGTCCGAAAGACCATTAAACCCGGAGATGTGAATGTGTGTGTATATACACGACACGTCTCCCCCCTTTCCTCCCCCCCTTCACCCCCTGTCCCTCCCCCCCTGTCCACTCACTCTTCACGAAGTCCTCAATGGCCGCCGCGTCCCGGAAGTGCCCCTGCACGTGCTCGGCCGCCACTGCTGCAGGGGCCTCAGGCGCGGGGTCCAGACACTTGAGCCGTACTCCCAGGTTGGCCTGCAGCGGCAGATCACCAGGGTGGGGGCGGGAAGGGGAGGGGAGGGGAGAGGCGGGGGTTTTGGGGACTAGGAGACGGCACGACAAGGCACGGATCGAAACACGCAGACTGGGTCGGCACGGCGGGTGTTGCGGGGAAAGAGAGAGGGTCCCATTGGAACCATGGGCCACATGAACATATGGCGTTACGGGAAGCGTTAAGGAAAACGGTCGAGCGCGACTTCCCACTAGCTCCGCTTGGTGGACTGGTTGATACACTGAGTAGTCTCGTGCTCTCGCGCGGACCTGTGTGGTACCTGGTATCGGTACGAGCACAACCCCTTAATGCCATTTCCCCATTCAAGCACCTACTCACTCACTAAACCACTCGCTCATCATCCAACCCATCATCGCGCCTCGGCCTCCGTTTCCCCTCCCCTGCATAACTCACCGCAGCCAGGGCCATCATACGACCCAGCTGTCCCCCGCCCAACACTCCCACCACTGCCGTACGAGGGAGACCTGTGGGGCTGGGGTGCCAGGGTTTTGGAGGAGGACGAGGGCGACGAGGGCGACGAGGGGGGGGGGAAGGAGAGCAATGGGAAATGAGATCTGGATGCGGCAGGGAGGGACAGAAGGGAGTTAAACTTTGGTGGGCAGATGTGAAGGTGGAGGGAGGGCTGTTACGAGGTATTGTGCTGAGTGAGCTTGGGGCCCACATGGGCGCCATGCAACCATGTGGCAACCATGTGGCATGCTTTGGAGTTTGACCGTGACCTACCTGACAGATGTGGCCTCGTTTTTCATAACTGGCGTTGCAACAGCTGCAATGACGGACATCCGGTCATACGCCGGCTGGTGTAACGGATGGCGCACTGCTGTCGCCGTGCGGCGCGTGCCTGGTCGCAGCACAGTCGATGTAAGCCCAGGCAGCTCAAAAGTGCTGCGATTGAGCCGTGTGTTTATGCCGTTCAGAAGCATGTTCTCTTATAGGCGCCGTGAACGAACAGTTGGTGCGCGACGATTGGAGCCCGGCCCTGGCAGTTTACGGGCAAGTGTGTCATAGAATTACGTAACTAAGGATCGAGCCGTTATAGCAAAGTATGAAACGTTAATTCTACCACTCTACACGGACCACACATGGTACGACACTCACGACGGCGTGACAGTTCGCAAGCGTGGGCTGCAAGGACATACTGCCTGACTTGCCTGATATCTTTGGGATCTGATTTTGAAATGTCTTATGCTCGATTAAGTCACGACTGCAGAAATGTAGCTCGGTGTGGAGCTCTAGGAACGGAAAGGTCCCATAGCAAAAGATGAAGTTAACAACATTATGCATAATCCTTGTTTGAAATCCAAATTTATACTGTCAATTTTGCAGTATAGCAAGCGATTTTCATACCGCCGCCGGAAACTACTAACGGAGTTTTCCTTATCTTGGCGTGGAGTGTCACATTGTCGAGACTTCATGTTACAGCCTTACATGTGCTACGTTTTCGCCTGTTGGATGTTTGTACTGCTCAAACACCTGGAAGTCACCGCAGAACTCGGGTTCTGCTATCGTGTTATGCCAAGCCTTCTGCATACGTTACCTACAGAAGTGTTTTACCTAAGTTATGGGTATCAAATCATAAAAGAGCACTAAAGAAAAGTCAAAGGCCTGGCGCCGGTAACGTACAGGAAGGACCATCGGCAGAGCAAACGAGAGATAGAAGGCAAGCACTGGTTTGCGCTAGAGGCTTAAAAGGAAGGTAGCCTTGGACGAAGCATGGGGCAAGGTCCCAGGCTGGTTGTCAGAGGTTGTCGGTTTAACTGTCGTCCGTTTGGCCAGGCTTGATGAGGCAGGCCCATTTTCCTCGTGACCTTGCAGTGACCTATTTTGCTGGTTTAATACAAATGATTTGGAATTCTTCATTATCGACATGACATCGCTAATACCAGTCAAGCGACATGCTAGCTGTGCTATAAACGTTTCGAAACGCTGCAACGTGTTGACTGTTAAAGCGTTTTCTCGCTTTCAAGATACAGAATGTCATCTTGCCGAAACCAAGAAGGAACTGAACCTCTTGATTCAGAACCTGGGGTTTCCAAGCACAGTCTTACCGGGAGACCCTCGGGTGAGGTTGGAATGAGTCATTACATACATCCTTCAAAAATCCAAGTGGACTGCCCTTTACGGTATGACTTTTTGCGGTCCAGGCCAAGTCCGAAATAGATAAGGTACTGCATCGGCTCGAGGCGCTCACACCGGCACCGGAACCGCTTTTATGGCAGCAGCAACCGGGCGGCACCCCAGGAATCTCTCCACTGCTACTGGGCGAGTGGGAGCTCTTGTACGCCTCCAACGGAATCCTCGTCACCCGCACCGCGCCGGCGGAACTCCTCCGCCTCGCCAGCCGGCTGCCGGGTGTCGGCCTCAGCGACATTACCCAGGTAGTGCATTTCGCCAGGGATCAGAATTGGATGGGGAGCCACAAATGGCTGCTTGGGAAAGTCTGCCCGGCACGGTGATCAGCAGTCGCAAGCAGCACCCCGTAAGGTGGGGAGAGAGGGGATGCGCGCTGAGCTGCGTGTGGGGCCAGTCAGTGGATTTTTAAGTGAGTGGTGAAGAGGATGACAGGTTCTTTCTGCGTCGACCTTGCTTCGACGAACACCTTCGTCCCCAAGGGCTCCTTCACACACCCGCAGCAATAGTCTTACAACCGGAAGGTGCGGATGCAACTACACACGGTACTCTCCCAGCCCGTGAAGCTGCTAGTGATCTTCCCCCCGGCTGAGGACCTCTCTGCCGCCTCACCCCGCTTCTCCTACCGTTTCCGACCCCACGCAATACCACCACGCTCTTGTACCTAAACCCTTATGGCCTGTCCTCCTGGCCCAGCGCCCCTCTCGCTCTCCTCCAGGTCGCAGTCGGCCGGTGTGTCTATTCCACTTCTCCTTCCTCCACCCCCTCCTCCACCCCTACCCCGAGGAGGCTTTCATGTCTTGGTTGAGCTGCAGTCCGTATTCCTAACCCAGTCCTGCCACCCCCCTGTTCTGTCTACCGCCTGAGCCCCGCCCCATGCCCCTCCCATCTGCACTAGTCACCCCCTGACTCCGGCTCTCCGGCTCTCTGGTTGATTTCCATCGCAACAACCCCCCCCCCCTTTCAGACCCTAGCTCTTAACGAGGCAGATGCCCTTGTGGCGAGCAACTCGGCAGTGCTCGGGTTCGGGCCGATGGGCTCTTGGAAAGTGGGCATTGAGGGAATCTGGCGCGATTCGGGCGACGGGAAGACCGCCAGGGTGAGGGGTATGTAGTTACATGCGTGCTTGGCAGTTTGGTGATTAACAGTTCGCTGTGCGCTTCCTGGTGCTAAGACTGTACTTGCGACACCTTTCAGTGTCTCCATAATGCGCGACATCGACGATCTAGCCGAATACCTTGCCATTCAGGTCCTCTTTGACCAGGTCAGCATCAAGCCCGTATCCGCGATGGGTCTAGCCGCGCCCTCATGGCTGCCGCCGGTAAGTCAGCCGGCTTCAGTTCTGCGCCATGGGGGCGGTTAGGCAGCTGTGCCGTACCGTGCATATTTTGGCACGATATGAAGCGCATGAAGTATTTGCTCAAGATATGCAACACATACATACATATATATACATATATACATACATATATATACATACATATATATACATACATATACATATATATACATACATATATATACATACATATATACATACATATATATACATACATATATATACATACATACATACATACATACATACATACATAGCTGAGACTTGTGGACTCGCTCTAGCGGGACCTGAGAGCCCTTCGTGGTGTATTCAATGCAGCGCCATCCCCGGATGGAGGGGCTGCGGAGTGGCTGCGTAGAGTGTTGGCAGTCTGAGTCGGGGTCGGGAGCACACAAGACTAACCGACTTGTGCTGTGTGCTCCCGACCCTTGCGCTGTGTTTCGGCTTCGGCCCCCGGCTCTCGCGGCCCACAGTGTAATCTAAGTCATACATACATACATGCATACATACATACATACATACATACATACATACATACATACATACATTCATTTGACAATTGCATCATATTTGGTATTTCGAGTTCCACATGATGCATTTCGCCATCGTATTGTGCTGGGACCCTGCAATACCCCCCTGCAGTGTCGCACAGCACATCCAAGCCTCACCGAGGGCTTATATAATGCTGGTCCCGGAATGTCATGGCCCGTGATGCCCCACTTTGTCCTGGGGCTCCAACCACAACCCTCTCTCTCTCTCTCTCTCTCTCTCACACACACACACACACACACACGCACGCACGGAGACACACACATATGATGTGCATGATTCGCCCCATGCCCGCAGCTCCGACTGGCCAGCGGGGGAAGCTCAGGCCCAGGGGAGGTCCGCGCGGGGGCCAGCTGGACGACCACCTTTGTGGACCGGGACACGAGAGTGGGCCGTGGCAGGGACGGGGAGGCCTTTCTGTTCCGTCGCAAGCCACCACAGTAAAACCAGCAGCCGTAGCCATGGTGGGCAAGTTCTAGCGGCACCGGCAGCTTCAGCAGCACACACGCAGCTCTTGCAACAAGTGCGATTTGATAGACAGAAGTTTGGGCAGTGATTGTGCAATAAATATGGGGATGAATGGCGGGCGGCCACAATAGGAGTACGGGAGCGAGTGGGAAGCGCTTTGGATGAGGTCTGGACGGTTTGGAAATTGACAGGAGGACTACGGAATGCGTGTAGGTTTTCCTTTCCCAGTGGTCCGTGTGATTGCGCACCCAATAAAGTTGGGGGAGTGTTGGAAGGAGGAGTATAATAATGCGAGAGCACACCGACTGGGCGGTGTCCCGTCTCCCGCCCCGGGGGCGTCAACCTTGTGTGCATGTGGCCATGCGCGATTTCAGTTTCAGAGTCTGGCGCTTAACCCCCTCCAGTAGAGCAGCAAATAGGTTTCATTGTGGCGTATTGCGCGGTTTGCCCAAGGTAGAGTTTACAGTGCGGATCAATGCAAACGGTGTATAGAAATTTAAAAGAGATTGGTAAGTTATTCATACTTCAAGGATATTGGTCTTGTGCTGACACCTTTTTGGTTATAACTGGAATCCTTCTGGAAGAATGACTGCCCCTGTCGTGCAGTCGCAGCCGGGGGCTCAGGGTGCCATGGTCACTACTGGGGGTGGGCACCGCCATTCCTGCTCCCTGCGCGCCACAGAAATCTCACTGAGATGACGCGATGGGGTCGAAGGTGGACGGTGTTTGGCGCGAGGTCGTTGGGCTTAGGTGTCGGTAGTCAGTGCTTTCGCCTTCGTCAGAGATGTCAGACACTACCGCGAGTGCCTGGTGTGTGTTTGTGCGGCCTTAGGGCGGCCCCATCGGAATAACCTCTTAGGAAGCGGCCGAAACGGGGCGCACCATTCCATTTTTATTCGGTAACAGCTGTTGTACAGTCTACATACTGCGGCACTGTTGAAAAGGGAGAAGATTGCGTTGTGGGCGGAAGGCCACCGTTTTGTTGGGGTTAAGGACAGCCCGATCGATGGGGAGTGGAAAGGCCGGGGGAAACTGAGGTGTCGATGTCGACATGCGCTTCTCCATCACGATGAACATCACCACGAGAAAGCTGCGTAAATTCATGCTGCAGCTGATCGGGGGTGCTGCTGGACCTGTCCGCGACCCTGTCGCTGCTGTAGCCATCGTAGCCTCTTGTCTGTCTTTTTTTAAAGCGCCTCCGCCTTGACGACCCAAATGGATCATTTAAAAACAGAGCGCCAAAGTTAGATTGGGAGGCGTGTTTGTTCCCACTTAACAAGCTACTGAGCTTCCAAAACCTTTGGAAGTGCGCAGCTACGGTAATTCTAACCTACCTGCTCAGCATGCTTCTTCAAGGGTACTCAACTCAACTGCCTGACTGCCGAAGATCTTGACTGGTTTTGTGACAAGAGGATGCCCTCCTGGCAGCGGAACAACCCATCATGCCACGGCCACATGGCTGCCAACCTGGAGCCCAAGGGAGCTACAAACGCGGCCACCACGTCTTTCCCTTGTTACCATCCCCCGCCCCGGTGTCGGGCCTCAGTGCTCTCTCAAACACCAGTGTCTAAGCGGAGGACGGGGAACGCCGGGAATGTTTTTTCACACCGAGCTAAAGCTGCAGCGCGCAAGGCTCTGCTTATGTGTCAACATGCCGGCGGTGTGTGACGATTGAGACCACAGACCACAAAGCCAACGCGACAAACATGTCATACGAAGTAAAGTTAGTGGCCCGTCGCCTGGCAGAAACCTTCACCAGCCATGATGATGATGCAGACGACAGCATGATGCAACGTAGCTAGGTAGGTCACAGCAGTGCGCACCGCGCTATCGCTAGTGGGTCCTGCTTCCATGCGGCATATGCAACCCAGCCAAGCAGGTGCCATTTGAGCTGTCCTTGTCCATGTACCGGCTAGCTGGGGAACACAAGCACTACCCGCACCCAAGAAGACCGGCACCTCTCAGCACAGACAGAAAGTGCAGGTGGAGATGGACCCTCGCGCCCCCAAAGGCAACCTCACGCGGAGAACAGGTGCGTGCTGCGGATGCTTCCACCACAAAATGGAGCCCAGGTCCACATCCCTTCCACCGCCGCCTTCCCCCCCGGCAGGTACCCACAGGTCACACAACCCCCCCCACCACCACGGTAACCCCAACAGACCGACTCCAAGTATCGCACCGCACACGATGGGTACAAATATGCCGCAAGCAGCGTCCTCGTCCTACAATACCGTACTCCGGGTCACACCGCCATCCCGCGTCAGACCCGCTCCATGACCCCACCTCCTCGCAGCTGCCAGCCAAGGATATGGCCAGCGGAAGGAAGGCAGTGGCTGCCCCCGCATGGCACCTGCTCCGCAGCTGCTAATGGAGCTACTCACGGGCTTGGCCACAAGAGCTTTTATGTTAGTAAGTCCAAAAGGTTCAGCGTGTAGTGCGTTGCTTCCCCAAGATACCCACAGGCGGACAGGCCGATAGGCACGCAGGCGCGCATGTCGACATCGCCGCCAGTAAGACGACCGCCAGGAGACGCTTAGCGGCAGTCTCCAAGCCGCCGTAGACCCCGGATTACTTGAGCGGCTTGAGGCCCAGCTTTGCACGCAGCTTGTTAGCCTGTGTGGAAGCAAAGCGGTAGGAGCACGAAAGAGGGGGACAAGGGTTGTGGGAAGTGTGAGAGCTGCAGCGAACACTGGGCAGAGCGGCAGTATCAGGGGCACCGTGTCAAGTTCAGGTTGCAGACACAAATGGAGGTCTGCCGCAGCGGTTGCTCCGGTTTCTGGACGAGCAGGCTAACAAGCCATTAAGCCCTTACGGAAAATGGAGGCATGGCACTCAGAGACAGACAACCCCCAGAACCCCCAGCGAGTGACCCGACCATGCACACGACCCGAAGGATGCGGGGTGCGCGGGGAGGTTGGGGTTGACGCGGTCCTCAGAGGGGCACCCCACCAGGGGGATACACCCACATGGTGCGCCCACACCCTGAAGCACGGGTGTATGGTTCCAGAGGGGAACTACAACCCCCCGGCCCCGTTTCCCTGCAGGGAATAGCCCAACTTGAAAATATCCCTTTTCGGAGAATTATAGTCTACAGAAGCACCACATAGCCTTGAAGGGTCCTGCCCAGGCAAGCTACCCGGGGGGGGGGGCGCACCAACCAGAAGGCAGCGGTCCTCAGCTAGCCGGCTGCAAGTTTGCTGACCTCCCTCACCTCGGCAATCTCCGGATCCTCCAGATCGACACCGCGCGCCTTGCCGCTGCCGCCAGTCTTCTCCTTGTCCTTGTCCCGTCCACCCTCCACAGCCTCCTTGCGCCGGCCCTCCTCCCGACCGCCCCGCTCCCGCTCCCCGCCCCGGTCCCCGCCATCCCTGTCACCCCCTCGGTCGCGCCCACGGTCCCGCTCATAGCCGCGTCCGCCGCCGCGATCCCGCCGGTCGTACTCGTAGTCGTCACCAGGCGACGCGGACCGCGAGCGAGACCGGCTGTCGCGGCGGTCCCTTCCTCCGCGGTGCTCACCCCGGTCGCGGTCCCGGCTCCGGCTGCGGCTGCGCCGGTAGTCCCTGTCCCGTTCCCTGTCCCTGTCCCGGCGGTCGCGACTTCTGCTGCGGCTCCGTCGGTAGTCCCTCTCCCGATCTCGCTCCCTGTCCCGGTCCCGTTCGCGGCTGCGACTCCGACTGCGGCGCTCCCGGTAGTCCCGTTCCCTCTCCCGGTCCCGATCGCGGTCGCGGTCTCGCTCCCTGTCCCGTTCCCTCTCCCTCTCCCTCTCCCGGTCTCGAGGTGGCTCCCGGTACTCCCGCTCCTGATGAGGCGGGGCGTCTCTCCGACCACCACCGCGGCCGCCGTCACGATCACGATCACGTTCCCGCTCCCTGTCCTGCTCCCGGTCCCTGTCCCGGTCGTAGTCCCGGTCGTAGTCGCGACCAGCACCGGCAGCACCCGCATCACGGTAGTCCCGGTGGCCGCCCGCTGCACCTGTGTCCCGGTAATAAGGCCCGGGCTCCCGATCGCGGTTGTAGTCCCGGTCGCGGGGATCGGCGCGGTCCCGGAACACGGCATCCGCGTCGCGGCCCCGATCGGCCTCCCGGGGTGGGCTGGCCGGGTGGGCAGGGCGGAGGGAAGGGATGGTACGCCTGGGTTGCGGCTTATTGACACTAGGAGAAGGTTGTGCGTACACGTGTGCACACATGTACATGTGCACGTGCTTGTGCAGATATACGTGAATGTTGTTGGAGATTGTGACGTGCATAAACTGGAAGGCAATGATCCCAGCTAGCAAGGTATCCGCCCCGCTGCGACGCATTTTATCAGCCGCATATCGTCAACGTGGGACTGCAGTTGCTTGCAAGGGCCCTCCGCACCGCCCCCCCCCATCATCATCAACGCCCCTCACATGACACCATGGACTGGAAGCCCCCCACTCGCTGTGTATCCATCCCCCTTTTCCCTCCCAATCGCGGGCTGCATCACCTAGACGCCATCACCCTTACCTACTGCACCTCGCCCCCAACCCATTTCGCCTTGCAACCTACCACCCCACCCCGCATCAAACCCAGCTCACCCTGTCACTCCCTGCGTCCTAAGCACACCGTTCAATCAACCTGCTGCTAGCTTCGCTTAGAGCCCGGGGAGCCCACTCCCCCCCTACTACCAGCCCCCCCAGGGCCTCCCTATGCGACTTCCCACCAACACCAGGGAAGTGGAGAGGGTACCTGCGCCGCCGCTCTCGCTCCAAGGGTCGTCCGCCGTCTGCCCCGTCAGCTGCTGCCGCCGCTGCCGTCTGCCCCAGCTTGGCCTCAATCTCCGCCGCCTGCTTGGCTGCCTCGCCCGCCTCCAGCTCCAAAATTGCTTCATCGAACTCCTCATCCAACACACTGATCCGGGGGTCGAGCTGAGTGAGCTTCTCCAGGGTGAGCCTGAGGCAGCAGCAGCGGGCAGCGAAATCCAGGTCAGCAGCAAGAGTGCCAGCCAGCCAGGTAAGAAACGCGGTGTCCGGTGTGAATCGGTCTCAATATCGACCCAAGTTTCCCTTTTTTTCTCTGCCCACCTGGCGGGCACTCGGGGCAGCGCGATGTCGAACAAGAAGTCCTTCCGCAACATATCGTCCACCACCTCGTCCACGTGGGTCAACATGAAATGGCCTTCCACAGCCTGGAGCCGCACCTGTGTGCGCACCACCACGAGAGTGGGGACATGAAAAAGGAAAACTAATTTGGGTTTGTGACGCTCTGAAGTCTATGGGATTTCGTTATATAGGACCCATGGCCCGAGGATTCCCCGTGATTACGGCACAGTATAGGAGACAGCTTGTACAGGACCAAGCTCCTGCGTCGTCCCGGGAAGGATCTTTGAAGGAGCATGGGCCACTTGCCTTTCGGTAATCGTTGTACAGAGGCTCCAGGTACTGGTAGACCTCCAGGGGTTTGCCGACGAGCCGCATGTAGAATGCGCCTGAATGGAAGCCGCCTTATGCGTTAAGAAGTTTACGTGACAGGCTTGCAGGTGGCGAGGAGGGAAACTGGGATGTGCTAGAGGACGGGAGTTTGAGCCATGCGCCCCCGACGTTGTGCACGGCTGGGGGAAATACCTATAACCACACCATCAAACCTTACCGAGCAATCGTACGTATTTAAAGTCCTCGTTCTTTATGTATTCGATGACAATTTCCTTATCGGGCTGGATTTGGAGCATCTTAAGCAACAAGCAGAGAAAGTCAGAAGGCTTGCGCTGGCCGCCAACCGTGCCCCCCACACTCTTCAAGTTCACCGCAACTTCCAACATCGTCTCTGCTGTTAAAGCAAAACATTTTTCTTTCCAGAAGACTGTCTGATAAATTTTTTGGCGCACAATGTACTCGACAAGATTCTGCAAGGACAGTCATGTTATTTACAGCGTACCGTAACCAAATATCCACTCGCTGACTCTTACCTGTGGATTCGTGCCATGGACTGTCTTGGCGAGAGGGTCTGTGCGATTTGCCATGGCGGATATCAGCCAAATTGCGCAGTAAGCTTGACGGAATCAATCTCTACACAGGTCTTCTACAAATATTCATCTGTGCATATCTCTCTGCAATCCCGAAGCACTATTACATCGGGCCAAGGGTTAAGTAACGAGAGCTGTATTTTGCCATTTCAAGTCCGCTCCCGTACTGGACCGCTTACGCTAGTAGTTATGAAAGGACTTACCACGAACATCCACGAGTGGACGAATGGCAAGTCTGGACCGTGCTAGTTGGTTTCCCGTTTTCGGTTAACGGAACCATTGTACGGAACTGAACAAGGAATGGAAACGGAAGAAGTTGTGATCACAGCGCTCCCTGCTTCTGCCGCACACCGATGTCGGATCAACATGCTTTGCCAGCGACCATCACAGCTCTTGGCCCGAACAATTCAAGCTTTACTTGTGAAGCAGGCTCCCGTCAAATCGGAGGTAACCCGAAGTGGCATTTTGTCTCAGGCTTGGGTAACACTGCCCCTCTAGCGATCTTGGCTGGTCATTACAGCGCTAGCATACAGCTCCCCTGGTACACAGGGTATAGACCTTGTGAACTAAGTCCACGTATGAGCCCAAATGTATGCTCCCCCAGAATCTTTAGGTGTAGGGCATAAAAGCCAGACGAGTAAAAACGTACGTTACAATGGTGCAATGAAAGAATGATTCATGCGCCTATCCTGGATAGTTGCAATCCAGCAAAGCAGATGTGGCGTTGCCAGCCTGCAAGGGAATGCGACCGCATCCCAGCAGACGCCGCGGCCGCCGGCCCCGTTCAGGATACAACACCCGAGCTTCCGTACAAGTTCTCCGTCGCGCGTCGCATCTTCACAGTTCATCATACACGCAGCAGCTCCCAGCAGTGAGGGCCCCCTTCCCCTTTCCGCCGCCGTGGTGGTGATGGCCGTCATGCGGCCAGGTAGTGCTACGCTAGCTAAGAAAGGATGTGTGTATGCCGAAACTAGCATCCACCCACTCGACTAGACCAACCATGAAGCGACACAGGCGCGCGCAACCGCAACCGGAGAGCGTAACTCCCTTTTCAACTGCCAAAGTGTCGGCGGCAACCGCAGCAACGTGTGCGACAATACACATGCAGTAGCGGTTCACGAGGTTCGAGAATTCCCTTTAATTCAATGGCCACGTCGGGATGGCGGTCGTTTTCTCGCGGAGCAGCTAGCACAGCCGAAATGGTTGGACGTGCGCATGTGCGAAGGCATCGCAGATAAATACAAGGTGTGTGTATGCGTGTGTGTGTATGCGTGTGTGTGTCTCTGTGTGTGTTTGTGTGTGTCTCTCTGTCAAGCAGCGGCCAATTGAGTAGAGCGGCCAAAGGCACTCCAGCCGTCCTCAGATCACACGTCTTCCAAAAGGGACTGGCTCTGGCACTTGGCCATCGCGCTTTCGGCGCCTGCGACAGCTTCCAAAGACAACGATGTGAACGTTATCCGTCATTAGAATGTATTGTACTGCACGCTACAACAATGACGGCACAATAACGGCACCTGACATCCGCCCTCACTAAGTCTATTTATTTGCTCGCCAAACGTTTTGATGCCTCGAAGCCTCACAGCAAGGCCCCTTTGAGACCACCAACCCCCCCACCTTACATTGGTGGCAACAAGGCTTTAAGTGTTAGGTGAGTAATACGGCCCCCCCCAAGGCACACACAGATGCAACCCCAGAAGGCCACACCGTGCCCCCGTACCCTCTTCCGTGTTTGCTAATTACTCTTCAAGTCCTGTCAGCTCGCATTCACAACAGCAATCAGTTTCTGTCCTACATTAAAAAATGCCGATCAACACAGAGCTGATTTGCGGGCTCTGGGCTCCTGGACGCAGGTAGGCTGCCTCCGCACCTCCCCAGGAGCCACTACGCAAAACACCAAGTTACCCAGAGCCTGCACTCGCGGCTCCCACCGCCACCTCCCCATCCGCTCTCTTCCCCCCGAGCCATCGAGGCCACATACGGTTACAACATGACGCACTAAAAAATGAATCCGCAAGGACGCCCTGTGTCCAGATTACTACGGAATCAGCACATAGCCGCTTAGTGCACTATTCCACACACCTGAAGTAGCAGTACAGCAGCTCAACCGCGTCACAGCTCAGCCTTAACGTTGAGCAGTCCCGCAATGCGCCGAATCTCATAGGCCAGCGCATTCAGTCGGCGCTCCTCCAGCGCCTTCAACAGGTCGTACACGTAGTCCTGGCCCTTAGGTGTGGGCGGAAGCACGTCCGGCGTGGCCTTGATCTCGTTGTAGATGAGCTGGAGGCGCTCCATCTCCGCACGTAGCTCAGCAGGGGTACCTAAACATACACATACATACACACACACAAACCGGGGTTGAGGGCGCGCGCGGAGTTGGACATTGTGCTGGCAGCTATAGCAGAAAATGGAGACGGGTAAACATGTCTATATGTACGTATGTATGTATGAGGTTGACTACACTGTGGGCCCACAGTGTAGGCTTAAAAGCCAGGGGCCCCCAGGACCAAAACACAGCGCGGGGAGGCCATATGCACACGGCTGGTTAGCTTCGTGCATTCCGCCCCCGAATCAGACCGCGTGAGATACGACTGCCGGCACTAAGCAGTGTTCCCCACAGGGGAGTAGCGCACCAGCGAAACGGCTACTAGGTCCGCTGGTCACCTAACATTAACGAAGTCTCACCCAGGGAGTTCTTCATATGGGCAGAAAGTGCATGAAAACCTCAAAGAGCACGTGTCCAGGACCAGGGCGACCGGGAGCTCGATGAGTCATCCCGAGCTGTATGTATGATAGAATGTATGTATGTACGTACATATGTATATATGTATGTATCTGCGTCTCCTTCCTCCTCCGGAGGATCTGGGGTGCGCCAGGTGCATGCCGTGATGTGGTGCAGGGGGAGCCTGTCCGTGACAGGGCAGCCGGCAAAGGCGGGAGCGAGGGCCCCAGGCAGCCGCTACTCCTGGCCCCTCCGATTCCCCCCTCAGAGGTCGGGGTTTGTTTGAGCAGTAGGTAGCGGAGCTCCCCTTCACCATGATTTTAATCGCTGTCACGTGAACGAGAACGGACGGACGGACAGGCGCTCTCCCCGCCCGGCGTAGTGGCGCCACAGCACAGCACACCCCCGCACGCACGCACTCCCCCCCGGTGTACAGGTGCGGGCCTTGCGCGTGCCGTGTGTCAAACCACCCACCATCGAAGGGCTCCTCCGAGGGCGGTTCATCGTGGCTGTACGGCTTGTTGGGGTTGTAGTCCGGAGTGTCGACCAGGGCCAGACGCGGCGGGTCCTCCAGGTCCGGCAGGAAGCTGGCGGGGGCTCAGCGGTGGTGGTGGTGGGAAGGGGGGGGGGAGAGGGGGCAGCAGCTGGAGGCACTACGGCGGCGAATCACCTCGGTCCGTAAACGTACGGCGGGACGGGGAGGACTGGCTACCCGCAATGGCAAACCGTGGAGGAAAGCCGTGGACGTTGTGATCAGCAACATGTCTGTACGTATGTATGTACGTACGTCAAAAGCGCGCTGCTGGACAGGCCGCCCGTGGCGCTGCATGAGAGAGGGAAATGCCCCCTACCTCACATAGCACGCAGGTATGTACCCCTCCAGGTACCCAGTTCCGCGCGGGAAGGTCCCCCCCAGCGGATGCCCCAAGAGGTGAGAGGACCCCTCCCGGCCACCACCCACCCGTAGTGGGCCACTGCGTAGTCATCCCGCAGAGAGCCGTAGCTGTAGCACACCTGCAACAGAGCAGGTGACGAACAGACAGACACACACACACACAGGAGCCGCCCGAGTTCGTCACACACAGAACAAGCCCACGTAGGCGATGATAATCCCTCCCCCCCTTTGGTGACGGGAGGAGGGAGTAGGGGACCGCAGGACTGGGATGGGCTGGGTTGAGGCCGGCTCAGTTGCGCATAGACCCTCCCCCATGTACATGTACACCCGAATACATACATACGTACATATACACACCTCGGCACGCCACCCCTCCCACTCCAGCCCCCACCCCACCCCCCAAACACACCTCATCACCAGCATTGATGTTCTCCCCAGCCATGAAGTACAGGAAGTCTCCGGTTTCGTACGCGCTCAGAGAGGACGAGCAATTGCGCCAGTGGTTGGCCAGGTCAAAGATGGGCGCCATCAGCAGCCGCCGCCGCCGCAGCGACGACACGTACCGCGTGGAGGACTGCACGCGGCGGAAGGGAAGGAGGACCACACGGGGGGCCGCTCTTGCTCTACCGCGATGGCGGTGGTGGCGCGCCAAGTGCAAGGGGACCGGCAACCCCCCCCCGGTGGGTGTGTGTATGTATGTCCAGAACCGCCACTGGAGCCATACCCCTAAACCGAATGCCACCAGACTGTTCAGACTGTCAGGCAGCGAGACACTCAACAGGTACGGGTAGGTGCCCCTCCGGACCAGCGTCAGACCCGGATCGATATGTAACAGGAACACACGCAGACACATACACACACTACTTGGGGAGAGAGATTCGGAATTGCAGCTTCAAAGGGGGGGAGTTGGGGAATTGGCGGGATGGAGAGGGGAAGTGTGCGCCCCCATCGACGTGATACTACTCCACATCGCATACGCCGCTAAGCTCTCCCTCCCTCCCTCCCGCTCCCTCTCTCGAGGATTACTGGGGCGTGTTTTGAAGGCGGCAGTCGCCGGGCCGCCACCTCACCCCCATCTGCACTGAGCCCAATACTTCACATCCCCTCCCACCCCACTAACACACCCCACTAGTGCCATCTCATCCCCCTCAACCCCCCCTCACGGGTACCCACAATGGCGCACGCGTACTTGAGGTCATCCAGGGTAACCTCAGCGTTGCCCACCATCTCCTTGATGGTGTACTCCAGATCGGCATCCAGCTCTCCGGCCAGCAAGGCGCGCAGGTGCAGATCCCAGTCGCGCATGTTCTTCTCCTGACGGCGAGAAGGGGGGGCGGAGGGTAGGTGGGTGGGGTTGGGTGCGGCATGGTGGGGGGAAATTGGTAGGGGACATCGAAATGTGGATGTGGTGGTAGCATGCTGTGATGTGATATGGTGGGATCGGCAGCAGCAGCAGCAGCAGCAGGACCCGGTTCGTCCCGGATGCGGGCGAACCAACCCGCTCTCTCTCCCTCCAGCTGCCGCTTGTAGGGGTGCTGAGGGGGAGCGCGGCGGAGTAGGGGAGGGTTGTGCGTGCGTGTGTGCGTTATGTGCGTGCGTGTGTGTGTGCGTGTGTGCGCGCGTGTGTGCGCGCGGGAGAGAAAGGGCTTGGCCCCTAGGGTCCTTTCCCCTAGCTCCTCCGGGCGGCAACACCCACTGGGTGACGCGGTGATGACCCAGCGCAGGACGTTGCCTGTCGAGGCCTGTCCTCTTAACGGCCATGCGGAAGAGAAGTAGAGTAAAACAAAACTGTAATGCCCCGGTGATCTGGGAGCCAACACGTTAGCATATCCCCCTTCGCGGGCAGCGGTTGGAGGCAGAGACGTTCGCTTTTCATGAACCTGCTGCAGTAGACGTGCGCTAGATTGGCATTCCCACCACCCTGACGTACATGATGTACGGCATGGCCTTCAGTCTCGGCCTACCCAGCGAACAGGCAGCCGTACAACCCTGCCCTACCCAGTAAGCGCTCTTCCACATGGGCGCATACTTGAGGTCCATGTTGCAGGAGTTAACGAGCTCATCGGGCTTGGGCCACATGTCAACATATGGCTTGAAACGACTGCGTAAGCAGGAGGTCCGCGATGGACTTTTACGAAGCGCATGGACGACATGAACAACATAACGACGAAAACAGACGCACCTGTGCGGGTCCTTCAGCTCGCGCAGCACCGTGAGAGTCGGCACCTGAATATCGCAATAAAATGGGAGTCTATAATTCAGGGTCCTCATAGTCTGGCATTACATCGGCAAACATTGCGCAGGTTGCGGGGCCTAAGCTACTTCCTTATGTGCAGGGTCCTGAGCACGCAGGCAACTACTCACTGCGAAACTCTCATTGAATGAACCCGTGTTCATGATGGTAGCAGATGGAATGGCAGCAATGACGTCGTTCTCGGCGAACGACTTCGTTGCAAACGCTCCACGCACACCATGCCTGTTGTTTTTCACTTCCAGGTGGATCTGCGGAAGTCAGCATGCATATCTTGACCGGCCCACATAACTTCCTCACACACAGCGTTTTCGTAAAAAAACTTACCTCTCCGCCCAGATCACGCACCCATTTAAAAAGGTTTTCAATTTTATCTAAGGGCTGAGATGACGCCTGGTGGCAGATCAGCAATGCCACTAAGACGTATGCGTGCAACATTCTCAGCCCGCGTCTGCACAGGAACCCAACGAATCAAGCACAGGATATTACGCTTTCCGTCGTCAGGTACTTTTCCAAAGTTAGGAAGATCCAGTTACGCATAACCATACCCGCAACACCAATGCCGTGCCGTACAACTACAACCAGGAAGGTAGTTTAATGCAGGCCAGCGGAGCTATGCAGCCATCTGATGCTTCAGTAAAAATTTAAGTATTATATTGAAGTTTTCGTCAGCTGCATCAGCGGTATCCCTCATACATGTTTCCGGCACCCAGTGGTGCTTCCTGTGGTACCCATGAAGAACCCCCAGAAGGTAACAACATATTCCCTTTTATTATCACTGTTTTGCTTATCCCATCATGTGTTGCTGCAACGTTGCATAGTTAGCCTGTACGAAGATAAAGAGCACTGTCTGACTAGCCTAAAGCACTGGGCTTACTTTGTAACATGGGTAGGACTGACATGCACGTCATTAACTCAATACTCCAATTTGCTCACACCGGGGATAAGGCTCCCATCTTCTCGTCGTCCTCTCGTCCCGTTGGACACCGACACGGACACCGGCAGGAAAGACCGCAGGAGATGGCTTGCCCTTGCTGCTGAGATCAATTCTACATGCACCTTTTAGAATTAAATCATAATTTAAACCTGCGGATTCCCAACGCTTTTGGCCTTCGCTTTGACTTCCGAACCATGAGGTACCTGGCTCTATGCGAGCTTGTAACATCACATCGTGACGATGGAGCCCCATTGAGATTTTCTTACTCCTCTATTTCTGCATTCGATGGCAGATGTGTGGAGCAGACATTGGGCAAAAAGGGTATTTCTGGTTTCGGGAACGGGTCTATGTGTGGAGAGCGACTCAATGGCTCGGTATGTTCACGGCAAGCAGGCAAAACAAAGTATCGTTGTTCTTAAGGTGTGTACATGCGGGATTTGTCACATGTATTACACGGTCTGTTGGACAAGGGCTGTGTCAAGCCGATTCGCACCACCAGGCCCCGTCTCCCCAACACCCGCATTGAACAGCAAAGCAAAATGTTCCCTGAAAACCCCAATATCATCTATCGCACATTGCTTTCTCAATTTCCCTCCCAAACTAGGATCCCTCATGAGTGACACCACGTCGTCCATGTGCCTGCAAGGTCGAAAGGTCAAGCCTCAGTGTTTACATGTGCGATCTGTCGTAGGTGCTCAAAATTTAGGGGATTTAGGGTTTCTCTCCGTAGGGCGGCCCCAGTGGCTGGGACGGCTTCGGAAGGCCGCTGCGCGGGGGCTTGCAATGCTACGGCGGATGTAATTGGGTGAGTGCACACCACGGCAGGAGCTTGCTTGGCGTACCGAGGAGACCTAGGCTTTGCAGTTTTGGTCTTCAGCTATGCTGGTTGAAGGCGGTTAGGCGGAAGGCATTTCTTGGCCTGTGTGAGGAATGTACTTTACAAGTTACCTCAGCTTCAGCACGAAGCCCGTAGGCAATCTGGACGCAGCGATATCAAAGCGACATCCCTTCCAATCCTCCATGCCGGCCAGGTGGCAGGTAAATCTCATGGACCTGGGGCCATGAGATAACCTGCCGGCTCGCTATGTTAGCAATTCTGCACCCGCACCGCGCCCAATCCCCACCTTCCTATAGTAGAATCGTCCCCGTTTGTGAGAAGGTACGTAACCAAGGGTATATACGTACTGGCCGCATGCATGTACATGCTGAGGATGTCGTCGATGGTACAACTATCGTCGGGGCCACACTGCCCAGTTGCGTGCGTACACAAAAAGGGACCTCAGCACCCTAGACTAAACAAATGCCATGAGGCTCCCAGGAAGTTGCAGAAAACGATCGATCGATTTGTATAAGATGCAGGATGGTGACACAGCGCAACTACCTAGTAAGCGCGTCCATATCTCAAACTCGTGTCGAGCAATGTGCCCTGTTTTTGCGCACGCACACAGCGTTATTCCAGCGCGGCCAAGGACCGCGCCAATTCTCGGCACAGATTTGTCGGCTCTCGCCGGCTAGGCCATCACTCCATCCGTAAATCACGAAGCACATCTCCCCTTATCCCGTCCTATCGCGATGGTCATGCGATATCCAGGCCGTGTCGAACTTTATGAAGACATTCGTCCACTTCTCACATAACGACACAAGTGAAAAAAAGTCTTCGGCTAATCTTCCCCGGCACGTTGCCCACGTGCGGTACTCGTACAAGCGTCTACCCATTCACTTCAAACCCACCTTGCCTCATTTACCTGACCCACTTGACTTGCCAACCTACACTGGTGAGCACGTTAGAGCAAAGAGTGGGCATTATGATGGCCCAGGACGCAAGGACGGCTGGCGCCTCTTCACCAGTCGCCCAATCCCGCTCTGTTATGCGTCAGTGATGGGCGCTTGGCCGGCCTCACAGGATACCACAAATACGTATAATCCTACGAAGCAAGACCATGCGGCCAGTAAATAACCTACGCTTCAGCGAGTTCACAATCCTATTGGTATAAGTTCTCGTCCGTCTCTAACCCCCTCCCCATACTGCCCTGTCCTGCAAACCAGTAAGCGTTGCGACTCAATGCGGTTACACCCTCACCCCGCAAGATGAGGTGGTGCAATTCCCGCTATCACGACTGTGCCACATAACCAACACCAACACCTTGTCCCTTACTCCAATGCCCACCATCTACAAGAACACCACTTGCATAACGCCGCTAGTACAGCACGGACATATCAAAGCGAACAGAGCTGTGCTCCATCCAACCCCATCACCGACTGCCCCTGCCCTTCACGACCAAGGTGTAGCCCGCCTGCTGGGGCATTCCACGATACTGGCGATACCCGTAGTTGATCCCCCACAGCACCAATAACACCATTGAAGCAATGCCCAGCAGCGCCGTCCAGCCCGTCAACGTCAGCGCCTGCGCGTTGCCCTGGTTGTCGCGCTGCAGCATGGTCAGCCCGGTAGACGCCTCCACGGCTGAGAGCTGCGACTGCAGCAGTGCCACTGTTAGCGACGCCTCAAAGGCCTGCTTCATGTTCGGCGGCTCCGCAACGTCCACCAAGGCGCTGCACTTTTCCGAAAGCCGCGGGATAGTCAGGTCGGCGTCGGGCTTGGAGCCCTCCTCCAACTGCATAACCGTCCGGACGAAGAGCAGTACAGACAATACGGCGCGGGAGGCGGGAGAACGTCAAGAGTCTGAGAAGATGTGCGGCTGCACCCGAGGGACCAGGGTCCCGGAATCTACTTGCAAGCAGCTGCGTTGCTATACTGTGCCCGTGTACCCGAGCAATCATGTAAGGCAGGCCCCGTCAGAAGCCGGAGGAATACAGATAACATCCGGCTGCGACCCGGTGGCAGCCATCAAGCAAAGCTCTCCTGCCACTTTCCTCCCGGCACCTGCCCGATTCCCTTCTGCTCACAAGCGGGCAGGTTGTCAGTAGGAGGCGAAAATGCAGACTGCCCCCTGCCAAAACCTTTCATCTCATCAATCAACAATCCATTCGACCCACCTGTGCGGCAAGGCACTGGCCGACGGCACCCGGCGTCATGGCCATGCTGGGACGTGCGGACAGGCACAACGCCTTGACGTCCTCGTCACAGTCCGAGGTCAGGATGGCGCCCTCGGTCCACACAAAGAAGGCCATGTGCACTGCGCGGCCCAGCTCCTTCTGGCAGGCCTCGTCCAGGTCCATATAGTGGTTCGCTAGGCACTTGTACACCAGGCCCTCCTCGCTGTTGGCCGCATCCTCCGCAGCGCACAATGTGGATACGGATGTCCTGAAGCAGAAGGGTGCACGCAATACGGGTGCTGCTGGGAAAGACCAGGCAGAAAGTGCCTAATAGTGCTTGGCGAAGTCCCAACACTATTTGGCAGAGAAAGGTAAGGCCGGGTGGGAAGAGCAGCTCCTCTGCATGTGTGCGTATCATGCTGACTGAAAAAATATCCACTGCACGGTCGAGTGTCAAGTCCGGCACCCTTCTCCCCCCTCCCAAATTCTTCCCGTATCGTAATTTCCGCTAACGCTATTATCACCAGCCATGCTCTACCGGTTTGCGCTTCATGTGCAATCCTGCCACAGAAACCCCAAGACTCCCTCAACAAACATGCCTAGACGTCTATAGACGCTTTGCCATACCATAGCTGGCCCACCTGCACGCCTTGCGGAGCGTAGGGTCCAACTTCCAGTTGGCCTGTCGGCGCAGCAGCTTGCTAGTGATTTCCTTGCGGCACGGCTCTCCGAAGTCAGGGTCCGAAATCTTTTCGGCCAGGCAGCGGAACACGCGCGCCTGGCCTGGTGACACGCTGCCGCAAAATACGCGGCGCTCGCTGCGGCAGATGCGCAGTAACCCAGGTCTAAGCTCCACGTTTTCAGCCTCCTCCTCCTCCAGGAGCAGCTCCTCGCGGCGGCAGGCTTCAGTCAGGTTAGCCCGGTGGGAGCGGAGGCACTCGTGCACGCGACCCTCACCTGCCATAGGACAGCACGTGGCAGAGTACTCAACCAGGAATGGAACATAAGGACTGGACCTTAATCAAACATCGGTTGTTGCCGGTTTAAGACAAGCGCACGGCAGGAAGTTCTTATGCCAGTAGACAAAAGGAGCCCGCACGCTCGCGGGGACCTCCGGTTTTCGAGCATCTGGCCCGTTAGCGTAGCCTCCTTGCCGCTCTCACCCGCGCGCACCTGTTGAGCTTCATTTGGGCGCAAATTTGCAGCAGCATTGCAAGCCCAAATTTCCAGTTTGCCAACCCCTGGCCTCTTTTTCAAATTCCAGTCAAACCCCAGCACTCATTCAGTCAGCCAGTCACCCTAGCAGTTCGTAAACGGGCACAGCGCCGCAAGTCAGTCATGGCCACGTTGGCGCAGGACAGCATTCCGAATCATTGCAAACGCGTGGCCCATCCTTTGCCGCGCGCTTGGCCCTTTCACTCCAGACCACTTCTCCTCCTCCACCTTCGCACCTGGCTCGATCGTGGAGCAGAACTTCTGCACATCATTGCGGCAAGCAGCCGCCAGGATGACGTCGTTGTTAAAATTGGAGACCTCCATCTTTTCAAAGTACAGCACCTCCCGCTGGCAGCTCTCGCTCTTGATGTCCTCCTTGCGCTCCGTCAGGCAACGCAACACGGTGCCCCCGCATATCTGTCCCGGCGGCGGCGGGGATGGAGCAGAAAACAAGAACTCTCAGCAAGTTGAATCGATGTATCGTTAAGGCGGAGCACAGGGTCAACACTCACCGTGCCGTCGTCCGCCGTGCACACCGAGGAACAGAGCGAATCGATATCGTCCCGGCACTCCTTCTTGAGGCGGTAATTGAGGCGGTAGTCAGTGGACACCTCGTTCTCGTACTGCTGCACCTGTTTGCGACACTCCACGCCAAAGTCCGGATCGGCCTTGTTGTCCTGCGTCCATTTGGACAAGATACTATAAGCGTTGGCGTACGGCGCGCGAGCATGTGCACAGCAATATTTCTTGGGCAAAAGCAGTTAAGAGTTGCATGGGACTTAGCGACCAACGTTGCCTTCAAATGCCACGACAGAGGCAAGTGCACAGCGCAGCTTGTGCGCACGCACGTCACCACCAAAATCTCACGAGGGCATCCATTAGTCGTTGTGTAATGCGGAGACAGATATCCGGGGAGGTCCTGAATCCCTGGACGCCATCAGGGCACGACACCGGCTCGAAAGGAGCTACAGCAATCCGTATGTTGTGCAACCCAACCACGCGCGCGCACGCGCGACGGGGTCCCGCCCCTTTATGTTGCGCCAAGCATTGCCGTGCGGCGGTCAGACATCGTCCAAGAATAATCCCGTGGCATCCTGACTTCTTCCTAGCCAAGGTGGGCATTCAGCCAACCGTGACATGAGCGCACTTGAGCTGCCACCTTGTTGCGCGCCAAATTGTCACATTGCGCATCTCCCACAACGAACCTTCCCAGTTTCACAGGTGGACAACAGCGCACTCGGTCAGCAATTTAAAACATCATAACAACCATAACCTGGTCATCCTTAAAACCTTCATCCCGTTTAAACCTCACCTGTAGACAACGGATAGCACGCGCCTCGCCGTGCGGCACGTCTTTGCAGTAGCGTTCGAGCTCCTGCCCGCAGGCAGTCTGCAAAGAGCCAAGGCCGGGGCAATAGACGCAATCGAGTCGAGTAAATCAGTATACCAGAGAACAGGCAACAACACCAGTATCCGAACAGGCCAATAACGGTATCTACTGGAGACTTTACAAATTCATATCACTGACATCAAGGACCGACGCGTACAGGAGAGAAAAAAGGAACCCCGGGACGCACACCGAACCTCGCACCGAACCTCGCACCGAACCTCCAAAGGGAAACAAGTACCAGGGCATACACCGCGCCACCGCTTCACCTTCATGGGGTACTGGAAGTCAATATTCTCGGAAAAACGAATCTCCTCGTCGAACAGCGTTGCGCGACACAAGGGCGAGAGTTTCGTGCGGCTCCCAGTCAGGCAGCGGAGTACACGTGCCGAGCCCTGTCATGACAATTCACATGGGAGATCACGTCATGCGTATCATACGGCGAAAAACGCTGGGCGCTAAGCGAATGAGCGGCATTGCACACGGGCAGGTCGGCCGAGATTGGGCCCCGCGGCCAAGGAGGGAAAAGGAAATTCTACACGCCGATTGTCCGTTAAGGATACGCTTACGTACCGGCAGTGGCCGCTACCCGCAGGAAGACGCGCCCACGTAAGCCACCGACGGCACCGACATTTTCCCTAAACGTGCATACTCAACCCAGCCATGCAACCCCTGCGTCCCTCATGCTGTGGAAACAAATGGACGTCGAAAAACCACACGGCCCGGCAGCCGCGAGCTAGCACCCACCGGAGGTATGTTAGCGCACAGACGCTGGCGGTCCTCAAAACATGCCTCCGCCAAGGGAACATTAAAGCGAATATCCTCCGCCGAAAGCTCCTTGTACTTCTTCACCGTCGCACGGCAATCGTTGTCCTGGATCTCTTTCATGTAATCCTGCGCAAGGTACCCGCAAGTGCCGAGAGAGCTATGCCAGGGGTTGCGAGAAAAGAGTGAAAAAGGAGGGAAACGTCGTCGCTGCCTCTGTGGAGCACATGTGCTCGCGGCTCCTTAAACCACAACAGACGTGGTCAAAGGACGGCTTGACTCTCCTTAATAAGGAAAGGGTCCTTGTTGGCTGTGCGCTGCCGGCCACCCAGCTGCCTTCGTCGCGTATGCCGGCTGTGCAACACGTCGACCTTGTTCGGACGCTCCGCGCCAAGTCGCGGTTAAGATGTGCTCCACGCGATCTGTCTCCTCCACACCGGCATTCAATAGCCGCACCCACAACTACATCCATGCCCGTAAAGCCATGTCCGCTTCCATCGCGACACGCACCTGTAGGCAATTGACGATCGACTCGTCCGCAATGTCTATGTTATCAACCTCGCCCAGGTAAGCACATATGTTGTAAATGTCCGATTCGCACTTCTTGCGAAGCCGCGAGTCCAGACGGAAGTCACGCACACGCGCCTCGATCATCTTGTTGACCTCTTCACGGCACTGATTGCCAAAGCCATCTTCGTTGCGGTGCTCCTCCAGGCAGTCCTTCACCTTGGCAGCACCTGCGCATGCAACAGGGAGAGACGGGGGAACAGGGACAACACCTCGAAAAATTCCAACCACCTGGCAATTCCAGGAAATCCGTATCGATGCTGCTGACCTCAGTAATACGCAGAGCTCCATATCCCATTGATCTGACGAGTACCACCCCGTAATGACTCCTATTTAGGTACTTAGCCAGAAGGCTGCCTGCTACTCGGCAGTTTGTGAACTGCAGCATGAGCCACGTGGGTGCACCGGAGCATGAGCCCGCGATTCCGCACCCGCACCCACCGGGCTCCACGTCCATGCAGAACTTGCGCTTCTCCCGCATGCACAGCGTGTAGAGCCGCACACTTAAGCGGATGTCGTCTGAGTCCTCCACCTCCTGCCGGAACAGCTGCTCCTCGCACCTCCACGACAGCTGCATGCGCTTGTCCCTCTGCGAAGGCAGCCAATACCCCGGATGCTGAACCCGCGATGCATTGGGTACATGTCCCCAGGCGAATTCCTTCTAGGCATTCCTACTCCAATCAATGGCCCACGCAGTCGCCACGGCACAGCGCGCACACGGCCACGAGGCTAGTTGCCTTCAGGCAGTGACATGACTGTTGGATTTCGTAAAGCGATGTACATGAATCCGCCTCTTGTTCGCTGAATTGTCACGGCCACCTCTACACCACCACGTTTCCAAGCAGATTATGAGGTTTTGGAACCGTGACCGTTTACAGCGTGGGTCTGTGGCACACCAAGTTTTGCGACAGGAGATCGTAGAGGCTCTCTCCGAAGAGGGCGGATGGGGGTCACTAGTCCTCCGTTTTCTGAGTTTTCTGGGGCACGACGTATGGAAAGAGGCCCCTCGAGGGCTACGTGAGGCAGATGAACGAGTGGAATGGCTAATGAACAGGTCATTACCGGAAGGTGTGGTATCGCAGTTCAACGATCGGTTGATGAGAGGTTGGAAGCATACGCGTCTAGATGCCCAGCCAGACGTGTACCCAGCAGACGGTAAGCAACCGGGAATCCACATTGTGAGATATAAGCATGGGATGGGTCTGGTGGCTGAGCAAGCGGACAGGAAGGATGTGGCCCCGCATATCACAGCATTTATCCCGCGTTCAGCAAGTTGTAAGCTTCTGCAGTTTAGGCTTTGCTGTTGGGCGTTGGCGGCGAACAGAGCGCGCAAGGGACGGCGTTATGTACCTAGGGAGGAGCGGGTGTGGCCCCTGCTGCGGCAGTGATAGCCACATTGAACATGGGATTGAAGCACAGGCTTGCTGGCAGGATGTTGCTTATAGGCGATCTGGCGTCCCTTGAGCCCTCGGCTCGTATTGGGCGGTCACGTACGGGGTACACACCCCCACGACCATGTAACACGCACACAGACATACGCATGCATACACACACATATATATGTATATATATACCTCTGCATTTTAAACAAGGCTCGCTAGATACTAAAAGCAGGTGCCACAGACGCGCTGGTATGCAAAAGCTGCTCGGGGCTTTCCCCAAGCATCCTCACAGCAACCCAGAGTGCCCGACGGATAGCCGATTGAACCGCCGCTGCCATGTGCCCCGACCGACTAATGGCCGTTCCTCACCAGACAAGCCTGCACGCGGCCGCCGCCAAACTTAACGCCCTCGCACAGCGTCGTGGCGTCGTCCTTGCAAGCTTCGTAAAGTTCCGGGTCGGCGCGGAAGTCCGTCGCAGCGTCCACCTGCAGCTTGAAGATCTGCTTGGCGCACGCCGGCGCCAGCATTTCCTTAATTCCCCTGCGCAGCAGCACCGAGAAAGCGACGACGGCTGGCTCAAGGATTCCGAGCTTTTCTCACGTGCGTGTGTTCCGAAAAGGAGACAATGTGGGTCAGATGGCCATCATCTTTGCGCAGGGGCTGCAACCCATGTGCAGCATGTAAGGTACCTCCAGGACGTTTCTCAGCCCAGCCTCGGGCCCCTCAGGGCTCTTGAGCCCCCTCAGCGGTCCAGGCACGGGCCCCCAGGGTACACCCTTAGGGAGTACCGCAACTCCAGAAGGTGTAACATACATTAACTACCAAGCGAACTAGCAAGCCGGCCGATTATAATCTTCGCAAACCAGGCGGACGCTAGACGCCTTGTCGTGTTACAAGCATAATAACAATGTGGGTCGACAATGTGGATGAACCAAACCGGTGACAGCAGGCTGTGTGCGAATGCTTGCAAACTTTGCATGGAGCGCAGGAGCAACCTGTCAGATTGGTCGTCTGGTCGTGTAAACATGATGCAGCGCCTACCGCGCTACGTTGACGCCAGTTGACGCGCCAACACCAAGGCGCGAATAAAACCCGTGCGCTGCGTCAAAAGCTCAAAATCCTTGTCCATACCCACCTAAGGCAAGTTATAATCTTGCCAGTCGTGTAGCCGAAGAACCACGTGTTGTTGCAGTGGCTTTCCGCATCGACCTTGCATGCCTTGGCTGCGATACAGCAGCGTAGCGGAGGTAGCGGGGGCTCACGGCCGTGTTGTGTGCACCGAGGCACATAATGGCGCTTGAAGACCGATGCGATCGCGATGTGGTCCTGCTGCCAGGTGCTGCTCTGGAAGGTCCCCAGACCCCCGTTGCAAATCCCCCTTAAGACTTCTTTGCGTGCGGGCTAGGTGCTGCCAAGCCAGGCTAGCTGGAAAAGATATTCCCAGAAGACTGGCAACTCCTTCCAGCTTCCTTGAAGGTAACATTTATGCTACCGGTGATAAGGCATCATGTGGATAAAGGACCGTGGTTACGCGGCATCCAGATTCGGATAGCCTAGCAACTGCTCACCTAGGTGCGAATGAACGCACACACCTATGCAATGCCTAGCCTCCCCTTTTGCTGTACAATGGTTGGCTGACAGCCGACTGTCTGATGCAGTGCTACACCAATGCAGCTGCAATTCAAAGGAGCATCAATACGCCAAGAACAAACGTTGGAACGTACCTTAATGGCACTGAGTACCATCACCTTTTCATGAATGGCTTTCCTCACGAGCAGCAAGTACCCAAGACCAGAGGCAAAAAGTGCTATAGTTGGTCCTTTTTATGTCACTCTGCACGCTGTAAGGGCTCATGGACCGATGGCTTGACGCCCCCCAACTTAACTGCGTAACCCCAGTAACCCCAGCACCTACGTAACCCCAGGTACGAACCCCGACCGTTCAATGAATGGCCCCAGTGTTTTTGACCCACATCCAAATTGCCCCACTTACCCAAGGGAATGTTTTTGTTGATGTTAGTATTGCGGGAAATCTTGTACTGGTACACCTCCTCTCGACAAGCATCGCTGACGCTCGGAGGGTCCCCGTCTAAATCGCAGAAAGGTGGGGGTGGGGAAATAGAGCAGCAACGAACGTAAACAGCAAGCATGCGGAGAGTGATGGAAGAAACAAGCTTGGGATAGGAATGAATGCGGCGCCTGTGCCACAAGCAGCTGACCGAGCGCAGCCCCACCACCAGCTGCTACCGTCTATGATGATATGGTATGGGGGTAGGTAAACGCTGAAGGCCAGGAAAGGATTACAGGTACGCAGCAGAGCCATCTGGGTAATCCACGCTGCACCGTCAGAAGGAGTCTTGCTGTGAAGGCTGACGACTCCACGACTCCACGACGCCCCTCCGGCCCACCGGCCCGCAACCGAACCCGACCCACCCTTAGCAGCCCGCCACCGCATCCCTCATCCCGCATGAAGTGGAGGTTTGCCTAGCCATACACATATCGTGATCAACTCAAGGGCTTCATCCCTGTATTCATACCTGACTCGGCATCCTGAAGTTCAGATTCGGCTATCAAAGCGCTGACGCAATCCGCAAGGTTACCCTCGCCAACATCAACTCCTTCGCAGTGAAGCTTTATCTCTTCGAGGCAGTTGCCTATAAGTAAAAGCAACCGACGACACGTTACAAGCAAGTGAGGCCCCTACTCCTCGCGCGACCTCGATTCATCGCTGACCTGTCGGATCAATATCATCATTATTAGAAATCGTAGCTGCTGGTGCCAGGGTGATGACTTGTACGGTCGTGGTGGCAGTTTTAGGCCCAGCAGCTGAAGCTGAAGCTTCTGGTGACGCCTTTGTGGTGTCATCAGCAGCTATGGCGAGGCCAACAAGAGCTACAAGTAAGGCCAACACCAACCGTGGCCGAGCCATGGTGGCACGAGGTCGCTGCTTGAAGACCAGGACTCGTAAATGTTAGAAATCAAAGGGTTATATTGAGTAAGGAAAACAGTACAGCCCGGTGAACTCGGCTTCCATGTGCACGCCGTAAGAACTCCTGATACGAGGACATTTTCTAAATCATGTAAGGGTACGACATGCATTGCGCTCATGCAACTGACGGTAATAGGACCAGCCTTCCGATACCGTGCATCTATCTCAAAGCATCACAAGCGTATGATGCTATCTCCGCCCTTTCATGGCAGCCAGACTTCCGACTAACGGGCAGGAAGTTGCATGAACGTGTGCCTTCCTTTTGCCAGATTCACCCTACATGCGGGAACCCCGCGGCGAATCCATCCAAACCAATCAAATAAGAGGCAGTCTTGAGGCATGCTTGGCGGCAGCTGGCAGCACTTTTTCTTTGCTGTCCCCCGTGACAAGCAGTGACCACTTTCAATGGTACGAAGCCATGGCTGACTCGCCGGAGGCCTCGTATACCTTTCTCCTTGGCTACTAATTTCAAGCAACCGTAAAAGCTAATGCAAAAACTAGCTGAACTATGGATTTACAGCCACTTTATCACTGTCCTTGCACGCAACAATCTCTCTTATCATAACCTGCCTTTAGTTGTTGTCCATGTTGTTGTTGCTGTTACTGCTACTGCTGCTACAACTGCTGCTACTGCCACTGCATTCAACTTCCTCATGTCACCATGCGTTCGCTCGTGGCTGAGGGCAGCATTTGCGCACCGCATCTCATATATGCACATACGGCATAGGCTTTGTACGGCGACAAACCAGAAGCTAAGTCCAGGTCACCAACGCGTTTTCGCTCTCTTTGATAATTACGTCATGCTATAACCCCCATGATATCTGGTATAATCGCTTATTGAAGCAACTAGCCGTCCAAAGCGCTTACTCCTGCCGTCCCCCCAAGCAAGTAGTTTTGTTGGAGCACGCCCTCTCCTACCCTTCGCGGCACTTTGTCGTTGTCATACGCTTTGGACGCTACTGCGCAATCCCCATTCCACGATATTGCTCTCCGTATAGCCCCCCTGCTGCTCTAGGTCTGCCGAGATTAGGCAATTCAGTGAGGCACGAGGCTCCCATGTCGGGGCATATCGGGCAGTTTTCCGCCCTACAGGTCCTCAGGCTCGTGGCTGAAGCCCGCTCACTTCCCCCCACCGCCCTACCAACAGCACGTTTCCTCAACCCCTGGCAGGACCAGTTCAAGCTCTTTGCGGTGCATACCGCTGTCGGCTACAACTATGGGCCACTTCGCGCGGATGGCTGCTTTGCCACAACCACCCGATGGCCAATGGCGTCCACAAACGCCTCTTCCTTAACCCATTCACCCTAGACAGCCGCAACATACTGCTCGCTTAGCTTGCGTCCCGCTCCTCACACAACGCGTGGATCCTCGTTCCGCATAGCAAAGCCCGAGTCGGTGACCTCCCCGCCCCTGTCAGGTACATGGGAACACATACACACACACACACACGCACGTGCTATATCCTTATGCTGGGGGGCACTGCAACTGGCTGGTCGCAGAGGGCGGGGTCTCAACAGCGGCCCCTTCAGACCCTTCAGCTCCTCCGCCTCCCTTTCCACAGGCTGCCTGGAGGATGACCCGTCGCCTCAGCCCCCGGAGGGCATAGGAGATATGATCAAAAGACATTCAGCAGCATTCGGCCACCGATCTTCCACCGCACCTCTTAGCTGCATGGCCGGGTAGTGCCAGACATTCTTACAGTGTGTACCTCTGAGTTGTACTGACCTCCCATTCCCCCGTAGGTCTCACGCAGCCGCCACTTCCTCCTCCGAAACCACCAAAACCTGTCATTTTCCGTCGCCAATACCACCTAGCCAGTGCGCAAACCAGCAGACACAAACCATACCGCCCTCTCCACACACACACATACATACACACACACAACCCTACGCGGATGACCCTCCAGGGCTCCACCTGCCAATTCCTCCATTTCATGATTTCTCCCCTTTTCCCTTCTCCCCGAGTATCGCCCCCCACATGTCACATGGAAACCGCTAACGACCTTCACAGTCCGCTAACCGCGTCTCCACACATCACGCCAGATCCTTGCGGATGAGCATTACCACAGCATGACACCCGATGGAACGCTCCTCGCCGATGCTGTCCACCTTTTCGTGGGTCTTGGCCTGAAGCGCGGCGACGTGGCGGCGGCGGCGGCGATGGCAATGGAGGTAAAGGCAGAGGCAGCGGGCGAAGGCAACAACACAACAGGGTGTTCAGGAGGGAGCAGTGCACCTTGGGGGACATAAACCAACAGTTCAGCTAAATTGTGAGGTGAAGCAAGAGGAGGGCAATAGAAGCTGAAAATGTTGGAGCTCAGGGAAATGCATCGCATCACTGGACACGCAGTTACAGATGCTACAGAGTGGATGGCTTCTGGCCCCTAGCTAGGCTCCGGATGGCATGCAGCGGGTCATGGGGCGCCATCGGAAGCGCATATGCGAATAAGAGGGTTGAAGGAGAGCAGCGCGGGCTGCTGGAATTCCAAAGCCGTAGGGATGTTTGGTTGGGTTAAGATGGAATGGGTTGGGGTGGAGTCACGGGTGCCCTGCGGCATGAGGTGGCGTGTGCAGGTAAGGCCGAGGTGGCGGCGGGGCGGTCTGCAGCGTACCTTGATGTTTACAACGGAGGGGTCCGCATGAAGCATGGCGCTGAGGTTGTTACGGATGTTTTCCTGCGTGACAAGGAGCAGCAGCAGAAGGGCGGCAGCAGAAGCAAAATGTGTGGTCAGGCTGGTTCTGCTTCGCTATATCAGCAGTGGCGTGCCATGACACGTAGAAAAACACAGGGACACAAGTACATACATACATACACACATGCTCCAATGCTCCACGCGTAAACGCACGGGTTGACTGCTCAGGTCAGGCGTGCTGGACAGCATAGTGTCGTACACGCCAGTTCCACAGCACAGGCATACACGCGCACATGCACTCAGCTCAGCTCCCCTCTTCTGATGGCGCAGCCTTGCAACACCCTCATGCAGCCCACACAACTGACAGCACACCACAACCCTACGGCACACAAGGTGTCTGCCTCTGTCACATCCGCGCGCCCACGTACCTTATGCGGCGAGAGCTTGGGCTTCTGCGCAATGATGGTGCAATCAAGATTACCTAAGACATAGCCCTTCTCATCCATCAATCGAACCTGCGGAGCAGGAAAAAAGCGGCGCGCGCGTATGTGTGTGTGTGTGTTAACGATATGAATCGCGAGGTGTGCGTATGTATGTGTGTGGAACGGGGAACGGGGGGAAGCTTCACGCGAAGCTGCATCGAAAAAAGAGAGCCGGACAGGAAGTGGGGTTGGTCACGGCCTCTGAAGCTTACTTGCATGGCATGGGAAGGGAGCTAGGGTATCCCGGCGGGACAGGACCGGCCGGAAGAGGGGAAAAGCAAAGCGCCGCAAGACCATCTTGAAACTCGCGCACCCTGCATCTCCTCTGCAGGGGAGGCTCTGCGAACCCCTGCTCTGGGCCAGGGCACGTCCCAGCCCACGGCACTGCAAACCAACCTTTACCATTACCGTTTAAACCTTCATCCGCGTCCCATCTCACGGCCCGCATCCCACCCGAGCCACCGCCACAGACCCCCTTACCGCCTCCTTAAGGAAGATGTCCGACCGGGCGCCCTTCCACTTGGGATCGGTGTCCGGGAACAACTGACCTGCCAAGGAGAGGGCAGCGGGGTAGTGCAGCACCAGAGGCGGGCAGGCGGGAAAGGAGGAGGAGAGTCGCTTGGCAGGGAGTGTTCGCTGATATGCGACCACGTTGCTGACATGGCCCGCAGCGCCTGGATGTGTGTGAGCACCAGAATATGTGCGTGAGCGAGGCGAACAGCAGCAGCGCAGAAGCCGCTGCCACGCATCCCACTGAAGTGCCAAGTGTGACGTCCTCAGCACTTCCTTCTCGCAGCTCAGTTTGTTTGTATTGACATACATGCCGCTGATCATACATGAAACACACACCGCGGCGGGGGAACCCCCGGGGGAAAAAACCTCCCCAGAACTCCCCCGGGTAGAGACGTAGCAACGAGACATAGGGGTGGCGATTGCGCGGTGGATTACGCACAGCGCCTCCGGAGCCAAGACCTGGAAGCCGGATGCCGGGTGCCTGTGTGTCGGGTGCGATAGCTGCTGATTCAGCAGCTGCTGCTGCTGCTGGTGGGTGGGTGTATGGACCCCAAGTGATCTCAAATCAGCCCGGCCTTTCCCACGGATGGTGCTAAGGGCGCTGCACTTCCTTTCCCCAAGAGGACTCTGGACCTTTGCTTGGCTTGTAAGGGTGCAGGTTGGGGGTCACATGGGACTTGGATACTTGCCAGGGGGGCGGTTCCCACGTACAGAGCCGGCCTAACAGCCCTGCAGAGCCCGCCATGGAGCCCCAGACGGCGCGATGCCGTGTGCGGCCCACGCTGTGCTATGCCTTGCCGTTCGCCATGCGTTCGCCATGAGCCGTTAACCATGAGCCGCAAAGACCCGTCCAAGGGTTCGTGTGATCCCGGCTATGGGATTGGGGGAACTGCTTAGCGACCGTGGCAATGGGTGAAGAGGGACGGGATGTATGATCTGTTAGGGCCCCCGCCTTGGGGGCCCACGGGCCGGGGGTCCCCTCCGTATTGCTATGTGGCGGGGCCAGCTCACGTTATCACCTTGCCGTTTGTAATCACATCATGGGGCACAAGAGGCCCGGAGCGGTGCCTGCTCGCCCAGCCAGCGGGGCCTACCAAAGTCAAGTGGCTGAGCACAACAGGACATCTCATACATCGATGGGCGAGTAGTCACCATCGATGGGAGGACAGGAAGCTGCGGACACCGCCACCAGTCCCCCTTGCTATCCACATGTGGACGAGGCGGTTGGGGCAGAATGCCACGTCTCTGATCTACAAACCATATGATGGCCTGGGCCAGGAAAGTAATTGTGGTGCTGGTAGTGGTGCTGGTAATGACCGCTTGCGACGCCCAGTAACTGGTTCCATCATGGGGCTTTCCAAGGTTTACACCACCAGCTTACCAATGTCCGGCAGGCAGAGCGCGCCAAGGATCGCGTCCGTGACGGTGTGCAGGAGCACGTCACCTGGCGATGGTGGGGGCAAGGTGGGGACGGGTGAGGCAGGCCTGCCGTTCTTTCCCTTCTAAGCGTCAGCCCTTTGGATTCTTTTAGGTGGGTGTCGCTTAGCCCCACACAGCCTACCGTCTGAGTGGGCCTCGCAGCCCTTCGTGTGAGGGATGTCGATGCCACCGATGATGAGCTTGTATCCCTCAGCCAGCCGATGCAGATCAAAGCCGTGGCCCACACGATAAGGGAGGGTAGGCGCCTTAGCGGCTGTAGCGAAGGTCACCAACCTCGCCGCCCTGCGGTGCAACCGCGGATATTAAAGCGAGGCTCGACGCGCCGTCTCAAACCGCGCAAGGCAAGAGGGCCTCTGACCTGCAGGAGCGCTGCGGCAGGACAGACGCCCGAGGAGCTACCTATGTCAGGAAGAATAGCTGTCACAGGGAAGCGCGCCGAGTCCCGCAAGGATTATCAAGGCGACTGACCCGGCTTGTCTTAAATGCGCCGCTCACACGGATCGATTGAAGCGCCATGGTATCCGGATACTAAGAAATGCTTTATACTAATGAGCGGACAAGATATACGCCTCAAAGGAGAATACGCTTGCGCACCTACAACTAAAGCAATCGCTCGCTTAGTACTTGTAAGTCAATTAGGCAAACCTTGCCGCGCTGATCAATGTTGCATATCCTGTAAGGATGCAAAGCCGAAAGAAGGGCATGCGGTATCTGTACGGATTGGGAATACTGAGAATATTTTCCGTCGCAAGCGTTCTACTCGATGGAACACATGTTTGGCCCCAGCAATCGTAAAATTAATCGAAGCTTCCATTGAATTTTGCTTTGTAAGCTATAGTCGGAAAAACCTTGTTCATGGACTGGACCTCCACCTCTATTTCTGCTCGGTCCTTAGCCGGTGTAGCTTCCCCGTAGCCAGCTATCAGTAGCAACTGCTTGTACTCCTGGAGGCTTGCGGCAAATGGGTAACTGTCTGGATGCCTGTTTTCGACGAAAGCCCGAGGACCCTCGTGCACGGCCCTATGTGCAACTGCGACAACAGCAGACGTGGGCGAAGACGGGCATCGTGGGTCTTCGGGACCAGGGCCTAAGCGTACGTCCAGTCTCCACGAATATGCATCGATTGGGCGGTTACCTTGCTCGTAAATCGGTTGGTAGTACGGCAAATGTGCACTCATGTCTAGCACGGAATGGCGAGCCAAGCTTTTGTTCGGCAACACGCCACTCTCGCGCTGTGCGCAGTGCATAACGCGAAACGCCCACTCAGGGGCTTCCTGAAGGCCTCAGCCATAGCGCTTTTCGCCTCCCGCTCCCCGCCCACGCACCCTTCCATAGCTCCAAACTCCAGACACTTCCTACACAAGCCTTCTTTGTCCAGTATTATTTCGTGATCCCAGCAAAGACGCGATGTGTCTTCCGCCCAATCCACAGTCCTTACTTCCCCATGGCCCCCATGGCGCCCGGCCGCCGCGTCCTGGCCGCCCAACACCTCTACACTCCCCCTCCTCTCCCACCGCAGCTGCCTGCCGCCCTCTATCCCGCTTCTTCCCCCCTCCCCCAGGGCGGGCGGACCTCCCCTACCACACGGACACATGTAGAAAATCCTGCACCTGTTCCTGACCCTTTTCCATCACCGCCATCACCATCACCAACACCGATATCACGGTTATCGCACCGCCATCACCATGTCTCCCTTCCCTCACACCCTCCACCCGCCCCTGCTGCTGCTCCACTTCTACCCCCCACCCGCAGGAGCTGCCCGCCGCCCTAGCGGACTCCGCGGCGGTGCTCAAGGTGATAGACGCCTCCCACAACCGGCTGTCGGCGCTCCCAGCCTTCCTGGGCTCCCTGTCGGCCCTGCAAAGACTGGTGCTGGCGGGGAACCGGCTCACGGAGGCCCTGCCGGCGGGCGCAGCCGCGGGCCTTACGTCTCTCAAGGCGCGTCGGGCCGATAGCGCCTTTCGCAGGGGTAGCTTGGGCCGGTGTGGGTAGCTTGGGGGGCACAGTGTAAGCCGCGTGTGGATGCCCGTCCGCGTGTGGTCGCCCGATTCGCGCGCGTGCGTGTGTGCGCGAGTGAGTGTGTGAGTGTGTGTATATGTACTTGGCTCGTTTTAAACTTTAGTTGTGTCGGGGGGTTTTCTGTCGGGGGATTAGGAGGCTGCGTTGCTCTGGTGGAGAGGCGGTGACAGCTACAGCGAGGACGGGTACGGAAGGAAGTGAAAAACGAGGGTGTGGAAGGGCCTTCTGGTGGAAGCTTCTGCTGCTGTGAAGCCCCCACCCGCTCCCCCTTTCGCCATTCCGCTCCCTAGGTTCTGATATTGGACGACAACTTGCTGGTCGAGCTGCCCGAGGTGGTGGGGCAGTTGCGGAGGTTGGAGCGGCTGTCGGCTAGCGGCAACAGGCTGAGGACCCTACCGACCAGTTTGGGGGCGCTGGAGGCGCTGCAGGTGCGCGGAAAGGGGCGGGGGCCCGAGGGCGAGAGAGATCCGAAGTGTGTGTGTGTGTGTGTGTTGGGGGTGTTGGGGGGGAAGGGGGGACGGGTGGTGCCCGTGAGTGAGTGAGTGAGTGCAGGGCAGGGCAGGGCAGTGTAGTGTAATGTAGTGTGTGCAACAAAAGTTGAAAAGAAACGATCAAGTACTCGGTGGTGCGGCAAGGGGGGCCCCAGTGGGAGAGTGAAATGGAGAGTGAAAGGAGCAGCAGCAGCAGCAGCACACTGCAAGTCCGCAACTTATCAACTGATCAGTGCTGCTCGATGGTGCTGCTGCAGCTGCCAAGGCGGAGCGAACCGCCACTTTGCAATCGTTTGCTCATTTTTGTTTATTTGCGGGTTATCGGGTTCGGTTGGGGAGGGTGGATGTTTTTTTTCATTTTTCGTCAATTTTCCAGTCCGAATCGAGGAATAGATTTTAAGTTGCGGGAATAAAAGTATCTGTAAGGCTCGGGGGGGGGGCTTTCTTGCGTGACCTTCTAACAGCATCCACGGCATTAAAGTACAGCATATGGTTAACATGTATGTATGTCTCCTGTAAGATTCTAGCGGCTTTGGCATGGACAGTCTGTTCGGTTGGGGAGTGTGCGTGGGACACGACATGCGTGTGTGTGGCTCGATGTGTCTCACTACACTACTGAGGACGTCCGAACACGTCACTGTGCTCGCAACGTGGCGCTTTGTGTTCTCCGCAACTGCCTCTGGGCCGCCGCCGTCACCCACATGCCCTCTCCCCACCCCTCCTCACCCCCCCTGATGATCAGTTTGACTTGGTTTGACTTGGCTTGGCTTAATTTGACTTAATTTGACTTGGCACCTCACCTCCCCCGCCGCCGCCCTCAGTCTCTGGTGGTGTCCCGCAACGCCCTGGAATCCCTACCCGACCAGCTAGCCGGCTGTGTACGACTGGAGGAGCTGGACGCACAGGTACGCACATGCGTGAAAGTATGTGTGTATGTATATACGTATGTGCGTGGGGGGTTGTGTGTTTTTATGGAAGGTGGGGGAGGGAGGGATGGGTTGTGGGGAAATAAGGACACAACCGCACAGTTACCATGGATTACTGGTGCACTGGATAGCAGTCGGGTCGGCGGGGTGGAGTGGGGGTGGGGTGGGGGGGTGGAGGGGTGGGGTTGTTTTGTGTGTGGTCTCTTTTTACCACATCACGCTCTGGCCAATCATGTCGTTGTTGCGGGTGTATTTTATCTGTGTTTTGTTCGTACACAGAGCAACGATTTGGCGGTTATTCCGGCAAGCCTGGGACAGCTCAAGCGGTTGAAGACGATGCAGCTGGACAACAACCGAATTTTCGCAGTTCCATCCGACATATTGTACGGCTGTACGGCGCTGCAAACATTGAGTTTGCATGGTTGTCCCATCAAGCCGGATGATCTGCAGGTGTGTGTGTGTGGGGGGGGGAGGGTAAGACCCCAGGGGGGCGGAGGAGCTGGAGAACCGTCTCCGAGGGGGGTAGCACCATCCAACCGACAAACCAACCCACCAACCAACCCACCAGCCTATTGCCTCCCCCTTCGCGGCTATTCTGCGCTCACCCCGCTGTTACAGGAAACGCCGGGCTACAAGGAATTTGATGAGCGGCGGAAATCCAAGTACGACAAGGTAAAGAGTTGCGTACCACGGCGCGCAGTGCAGCGTTACAACTCTTGACAACCCTAAAGCCCCGTCTCCATCCCGGTGCTCGCTGCCTATCCACACGGGATGGGTTGGGATGGGTTGGGATGGGACGTCACCTCGTGGGGGGTGGGGGGTGGGCACGCGGACGAAGGCGGCTGCCGTACCTCAGGTACAGCTGACGTCATGACGACGCGTGTGATGTGTGTACGGTATCGAGGTATCAGCCGGTTGCGTTGTGCTGCGTTGTGTCTCTCTTCCTTTCTTGGGGGCACCGCAGCAGTAACAGCAGCAGTAGCAACAGCAGTAACAGCAGCAGTAGCAACAGCAGTAACAGCAGCAGTAGCAGCAGCAGTAGCAGCAGTAGCAGCAGTAACAGCAGCAATAGCAACAGCAGTAACAGCAGCAGTAGCAGCAGTAGCAGCAGTAGCAGTAGCAGTAGCAACAGCAGTAGCAACAGCAGTAACAGCAGCAGTAGCAGCAGCAGTAGCAGCAGCAGTAGCAGCAGCAGCAGTAGCAGTAGCATCCCTCCGGTGATGGAGCCATGTGGCGGGGCCCCCGTCGGCTTTTGTTTTCGCCCGTGTGTGTATGCGTGTGTGTATTTGTTACATATATCGATCCGGGGGCTTGACACTTGCCAGGGCCTGAAATTGACCTAACCGTACCCCAAAACGGGAATGAGCGACCGCCGAAGCACTCTCCTCCTTGGGGGTAGGGAAGGGGCGTGAGGTGACACTATCCCCTCCTGCTCGACCGAGGGCGTGCAACCCCCGCCGCGTTTCCCCCTTTTGTGAAGGGGAAAGAGAGAGCGCCGTGGCTACCAAGGTCCTCAAACAACCAACCTCAGCACGCGCTGCGGCACAGTTCCCCCCGGGCAGCCTTTGCACCACTTGCGCCCAGGGTTGCGGCTGCGCACCCGGGTCCTTGCAACACCTGGGCGCCCCTCCTCCCCGCGAGGGTTCGCCCTACCAGCGCCTTAAGCCCGAAAGCCGAACCCTACAACTAAAACTGTACGCACTACGCTTCTCCTCGACGAACCCAAACCTGGTGAAACCCAAACCACCACGCAAAGTTGTGTCAGGCCCCGATCAGCCAGCCAGCCCGCGGCCGCACCAGGGGGGTGTTGTTGTTTCAGTCCCCTGGAGGGGTGGCCCTTATCCGCGTCAGTCAGGCGTAAGGGCAAGGCGCCAAGGCGGGAGGCGTGTCTGGTGGGGCTATGGCTCGCCCCGTGGCAGCACCCCACCTCATCAGATCACCACTCCGTCATGTGCACACTTACAACACCACTCCGGCAGCACCCCCCGCGCCTATATGACTATGGGGGCTTCGGTCCCCGGGCTCCGCTACCCCTCCCCGCAGTAGCAAGCTGAGCAACCAGCACCTCTGTATGTGTATGTGTGTGTATTTCCGTGGGCGACATGCTCTCCGCCCCCCCCCCCCGCGTGTTGGGAACCTCCGACGGTTCCCGGTGTGAATTAGCATTTCATTAGAAGATATCAATACCAGTATGCCACCACATGAAGTTCCGGAGTCGAGATGTCATAATTTGGGCTGACTGACCGTAGCAGCTCTTGTTGACTGACCACCATTACTACCACCACCGTCACCACCGCGACCACAATCATTACCACCACCTTCTTCCTCCGCGTCCCGACACCCTCCCCTTGATGCGGTGTGTGGTGGTCACACCACAGGTGATTGCGGGGGGGGCGCTGCTGGGGAACCGCGGCCTGGACGAGGGCGTGGACCGGCAGGTGTCACCACCGCGAAGATGACGTACGTATGTCTGTATGTATGTGTGTATGTATGTATGTGTGCATGTGTGTATGTATGTATGTGTGTATGTATGTATGTGTGTATGTATGTATGTGTGTGTGCGCGGGAAGTGTGTTTTTGATAACCGATCTGCGTATGTGTCACCTGTGTATATTGCAGTGCAAAAACAGTCTATGTGTGTGCAGGTGCTCGTGTGTATGCGTGTGCATGTATGTAGATGCTCACTTACGGACGCCGCCTTTGCTTGCAGAGTGTGCACGTCGAGCTGTTGGGCTCAGGGACTTGGACGCATCAGCACCCCCCCCCACCAGTACATAGCCACTACCTAGATAAGGAAGCATGGTGGCGCCTTACTGTTGGTGGCACTCCTCTCCAGCTGGGGAATACCATACATGAGGGGCTATTTGGCGGCTAAGTGCGGCTAAGTGGAGCTTGTCCTCCACCCAAGGGTCAACAGTACATATCATCCCCTCGTCCTCACTTTTGGGCGTGCGTGCCCGGTTGCACGAGGTGTTGATAGGTCGTTTACCACAGTCTGCTGGTCAAGTGGTCACTCGAAGGCAGGTGTGGCTGCTGTCTGCCCCGACGGATGTTCAACGGTGCATGTGTTCGGGATGGGGTGGTCCTGGCCACCGCGAGCGCGATGAAGCGTGGCAGCAGGTTATGGCGGCTGCAATGCGGACGGATGCATCTAGAGTTCCGGGGCCAAGTCTCCTTGAAGGTGGCATTTGTGAAGCTTTGGTTTGAAGACTTCACATCGGGGTGCGTGTTGGGAGTTTTGCGTCTTTGAGTTTGCCTTCAAACCGGTGATCTGGTATATGGGTCCTAGCGGGGCAACCCATTCTTCGTGGCGTCTGTAGTGTCCTCCTCTTCTGCGAGGCTCCAGATGAAGCTGTGTTTCATGTTTAGCTTTTTTGTTATTACTTTTTTGCCTATTTATCAGTCCTGATCTTGTTTTACTTGCTGGGTGCCTTGGGCTAGCGTGTGTCATTTTTTTCAGCCGCCGCTTGCTGTTGCCCCTGGGGAGTTGCCTCTTTTCCGGGAACTGGTGCCTTCTGCCGCTTCTTGGGGCGATGGGGCTCTACAGGCTACTTCCCTCTTTCGAGTAGCGGGTGGCAAAGTCATCCCATACAGGGCCTCTCAAGTTCGGAGTGAGCTGTATGTATTCCTGTGCAAGGTGTTCAAGGTTTCCGTCTCAGGATTCCCAGTGGTGCAGTACAGTGTACGGCATTCCGTTTATGTCCCCGATGTTGGCCCCCTACCACCCTGCTGGGGTATTAGTCCCTTGGGATCTATCTGGGGCTCGCTGTAATACCTACCACTACTACTATTAGTAGAATTAGTAATGCTACTTCTTTTACATCTGGGACCTCCCGGAGAAAGGGGAGGGGACTACCTTTGGTTGCTGAGACATCCTTCACGTTCACCGGCTCTTTCATGCTGCGAGAACAAAGCGCGAGGCAGGATGGTGCTTATAGGCGATCTGGCGTCTCTTACGAAAAGACGCCAGATTGAGCCCTCGGCTCGTATTGGGCGGTTTGCAGGTACACGGGGTACGCAACCCCAGGACCACGTAGATTAACATAGGTAGGGAGCATCGGGTCGTGCTGGGAACAAACAGAGAGTGGTCAAAACACTGCATGGTGTAAATGTCAAATGTCCATGCTCAGATCTTTTGTTCAAAATAAATTAGGAAACAAATATATTTATCAAGATGCGGGAAAACGTCGGCGCTCCACACAAGGGCTCGTTACGGGGCTTTTGCGAGTAAGTAGCGAGTAGGTGCGCTCTGCTCTGTTGGCTGCCTCAAGCGCGGGTACATTCCGTAACGCATCTTTTCACGATGTATGGTCATCATTACAATAACACCAACTGAGAATTCTCTTCGAGCGACACCAAGCACTGAGTGGCATTTTGTTCCGTACAGGCAGGCAGCCGCTAAGGTTACACAAAAAAAACTTTGACAACAGGTATAGTCACAGTAGTGACCAGACTATCTTTGGTATATTCTATTGAGCTCCATTTTAACCGCTCTGGTGAACTACGGTTAGGAACACATGCCTTCATACTGGGGCTGCAACACAGACCGAAACAAGGCGTTATGGGTAAGAGATGTTTATTCCTTAGGTAAAGTGTGTGTGGCAGTTATAGTGGGCCCCGGACTTTTGACCGTGCACTACCGCACCTGAGATGACCGGGGCAGCAGACACTCATTGCTTAATGCACGCCCGCCTTAATATATAATAATGGCGATATTAATGTTTAATGGTAGTGGTTGAATGGTTCATTACCCATCAAGCCTGGAATTGTCTTACCTACCTCGAGGGCGGGCTATCCATCTTGTTGGCAGCACACTGCACGGCCTCTGAATGGTTTGGAAGGGGACATAATACTTTGGAATTTAGACTTTAGGCCGAGACATGAGCTTAGGAAGGCAAGGGAAGCGAGCGTCTGTTTCGCATCCAAGCTCTTGTCAGGCCTTTAAATTTTACACTTTTACCAAAATGCTAAATCGCACTGATGATTATCTAAAACCCGCACCAGGCCACCTTTGTGAGCTGCCTCATCGCGGGTGGCATTATGTTCATCGTTGGCTTAGCAAAGGTCGTTCCCTGCGTCAGCGAGTACAATTCATGTCTGGCAGCGCACGGCAAGTATTATGAGGATTATTGCCGGCATGAACGGGACGTGTGTGGCGCCAGCTGGGCCAGGTACGGGAAACTCATCTTACATATAGCCTCACCCGCTGAAGGGGGCAGAAACGTAGCTAAAGCGGTAATGGTAGCGGTACCGGCAGCAAGCATGGTTCAGGTGTCTTCAGACGCAGGTTACTAAACATCACATCCATTGCATGTTTATACAGCCTATACAGCCAATATCGCGACATCCTCAATGTTTGGCAGGCTCTTCCACCGCACAAGTCAGGCAACCTTACCTTAACGCTGAATACTCCTGACCTGACGAAAGTACCAACCTGTTGCGAGGTACCCCCTCGTCGACGAGGAAGGCCTTCATGGAAAATCTCCAAAACGTGACAACCTCCCCGCCGCTCCCCGTCTTCACCACCTTTATGATTCTGGGTTGTCGTTGTGTTCCAACAGGCTATGGATTGCAGGCGTCATCGTGCTGGTGGCATCGACGGTGCCCCTCTGCAGTTTCTCCTGTTGCTCTTCACCGCCCCCCAGCACCAGCCAGTTACCGACGGATACAGTCATGCAAACTGCAGTGGTCATGCCGCAATATCCCCAGGTGCGTGGCGACATGGCACACGACAAGGCTCTATCATCAGCGCGGCGCAACCGGGATGATGTGGATGGCAAGGCTTGGCCTGGGGTATGAACTGGCCACACGTGCATGCTGGTGTAGGCTGAAATTTCCTTTGGCCCTTGAAAACTTTCCCCATAGGTTTGTCGGTCCATCCAGTTACGATTGACGCCGGCAGACCTCTCAGCAGCGCAGATCTCTTTTTGGCTCATGATTCCAACGTTCTATTAGCGGCTTTCTTGACCAAAAATACACCTTGCGCTCCAGACACGTATGCTATGTGTTCAATTGGCCCAGAAGCCTCCCACTCTGTAACAACATTTAGCTACGTTTGCTTAGGGTACTAGTAAACTATCTTCTGGCGGAGCTCGCTTGTTGCCACAACCCTAAGACCCTTCCCTTCCCTGGACCGACTGAACAGTAAACAGTAAACTTTCCCGCGCTTAGCTTTACCATTATGATGGGATTCTGTGTTAGAAGCTTCTAACAATCTCGCCTGGGTCGCTGCCCCATTGCCGTTGCCGTGCTGTTGCCATCTCTCACGGTGGCCCGTAGGGCGCAGTTCCACTATACCCACAGCCTGTGTACCCTCCGGGGCCGTCAGGGGCCTTCACTGGGGCACCACCCGTGCAGGGCCAGCCGGTCATCTACAACACTGTGACGCCGGATGGCCGGATTGTCTCGTACTTTCCACCACCGCCAACGACGATTTTTAACAACCCCCTCGCGTACCAGCCGCCGCTAATACTGCCGGACAGTGGGAACCCAGGCACCTACTCCCAGCCGCTGCAACCGCCACAGCCGCTGCAACCGCCACAGCCGTCACAGCCGTCACAGCCGTCACAGCCGCCACAGCCGCCACAGCCGCCACAGCCGTCAAAGGCGTAAACAGGGAGGACCATGCCCTACACGAGGCGCAGGTGCGCCACAGCAGGGGCTGCAGAAGGAGCATGAAGCCCGCGGAAAGGCGAGTTTGTGCTCACCGGCATCTAAATTGGCAGCAACTGGGTGCTATGTATGACTGGGCGCAACATCATCATCAAGAGCAGCAGTGGCAACAGCATCAGCATCAGCAGTAGCGGCATCAGCAGCAGTGGGATCAGCAGTAGCGGCATCAGCAGCAGTGGGATCAGCAGTAGCGGCATCAGCAGCAGTGGGATCAGCAGTAGCGGCATCAGCAGCAGTGGGATCAGCAGTAGCGGCATCAGCAGCAGTGGGATCAGCAGTAGCGGCATCAGCAGCAGTGGGATCAGCAGTAGCGTATTTGTAGTTGATATATGTTCCGTACTGTGTACCAGCTACTACAGATGGTTCCGACCTCGCTCTCGTGATGTGTGGGGCCACAACCTAGTTAGTTCATTGTTATTGTTGATCACCAGCAGCTTGCAGAGCTTGTTTATGTGGGGAGCTACTGATACTTGATGAACGGTCCTTTTATCCCTTTATCTTGCATTTCTAGTGATACTTGCACATCATCATCATCACCATCATCATCACCATCATCATCATCACCACCATCATCATCATCATCGTCATCGTCATCATCATCACCAACATCGCCATCATCATCACCAACATCGCCATTATCATCACGCACACATTCTGCTGCATCATCGGGCCCGAGTTGTCCTATCCCTCTTGCCAGGGGACTTCCTGATCAGCGGGGCGGTGTTATCTTGGTCGCATTGTTGCTCCCGTCGGTTGGGAGGAGGTTCGTTGCAGTCGCATGTACTTATAATCTGTCGTAGGGCGGGTCGCACGAGGACAACATCCGGAGTTGTGTATCAAATTAATGATGCTGCAAATGCCTCAGTGCATGGGGGAAAACGTGTTGCCACGGGCTTTGGCCACGCAGGCAGAGTCGTAATAGCACAGTCATATGCAGGATGGCCTCTTAAGATAACAATACACATCAACATACATACATACATACATTCATACACACAGCATGTACATTAGCACAACATGACCACATGCATGTATGAAATTCGCGGCACACTAGCTATTTAATAGCAATTCGCATGGTGCACGAGGAGAATGATGCCGTATGCATGCACGATGGCCAGCATGCGCCAGCCAGGAGATGCCAAAATGTAAGGAATCGGCCTTGACCTGACCTGGGGCGGGGGGAGTGACAAGTCTAGCGGTGTTTGCGGATGAGGTTTCGCCTTGAGGCGGCAGACACCCGGGGAACTACATACATACATACATGTACACACACAGTTCGGTGTGCTGCTGTGTTTTGGGGCAGTGGCACACGCGCCTTCCCGGGAGAAGTTTCTGTACTTGCCGAGAGTGTTTCTCCCTCCTGCTTCAATTCGCTGCCCCTTGCCTATCTAACGACCGACATGCATTTCCGGAAAAGGAGGGCCGGAGGACCTGAACGGACCAGTAGTTGGGCGTGAACTTGCGCCACGGAGGGCACGATGCTGATAAGATTCGAGGCAAAACCCCGCGCGTACAAAGGCTGTGTTTTCAGGGCGATAAATATATGGGAACAAACATAGAACGAAAAGGTTCCCCGGAGGTTCCAGGATCGAGACCTGTCAGGCTCAAAAATCCTTCCGGTAAAGTGCCCCTAGTCACCGGACGGTGGTGACCTGGGATATAGTTACCTTGCGAGCTGAATAGGAATGGAGTTGAGCTGCTGTCAGTCCGGCGGATTCCGTTGGATGACGGTGGTGTGTGGGGAACCTGAGCAATCCACCGAGAAATTGGCTAGGGTGACTTGATGAGGGTGTCCCGAAATACCGGGGAAGGCAGGGTCTGCCGGGTAGCGGCCGCAGTGTGAAGATATGACCCCCCTGTCCCACCCATCATGTATGGACCCCGAGATGCCGTAGGTTAATGATGATTATACAATAAGAGCTCTCCTTAAAGCTCCGGCTTGACTTGGCTGGCTCACTCCAGCTTCGTTAACTTGATTTGCGCGATCGCAGTAGGCGAGGACGGGCTGGGAACGGATCCCTGTCGAGCCTAGAGGTAGGAGCACTAAGGGCGGACCTTATGGAATGCTGTGTGTACACTCTCTGTCTATCCTGCTCTGATGCGCGTGTCGAGGTAGGGTAGGATTGCAGTGTTCTTACACCAAAACAGTCCTATCAACCCTCCTATAATTATATTATCTTCAATAATATAATGGTCTATACGCTCACGAAGAGTTGCTTCGAGAGCCAAACGACAAATGTTTGGCCTCTTCGCACTCGCATTTATGGCGAAGTACCGACTGATCCACGCCGGGCCTTATCACACCCGGCCCTACCCTGGATGCGTAACGCTCATCCGACTAACGACAGATGAACGACAACCTAACATCCTCAAATCACAACGGAAAGCGCCTTATACGCTACCCAAAGTCTCAAATAAATCAACACACGGTTCGCCTTACTACCTTCGGTTGGCTTAGCCACCTGCGGATAGCGGCTAACTCGGTCATGACACGTAATTTGTGCGCTCCAGATGTTTTGGCGTGACAGCTGTCACGCCATATGACGTGCTAACAGACATAAGAAATGCGGATGGATCACTCCCCCCCCCAGCTCATGCGCGGATTGCGCTGGGTGAGCTGGCGGTAGATCACCCAAAAAGGCACTAAAGTAACTGAACGGCGCGCGTTGTGTCCTTCACCAGGGCGCGCTTCCACATAGCATTGCTGAACACAACCAACCAAAACTTACTTCCTACTTGCAAAACACTCAAACGGTCGTCCCGTTGCACAGCACGGAGCCAATGCAAACGTGCCGGATCCGCCTGCGTGATATAAGTGCGAGGCACAGCAGCGATGACAGCTACCTCAGCATGCTGACATGCCACCGGCAACACCACATCCATCACCTCCTCAGAGATATCCAACCCTATGATTGGCATGGCGACCCCATCAGAACGCGCCTTTGCAAAACTTTGCGGCTGGGCCGCGTAGAGGGTTGCCTTATCGGGCATATACCGAACGGTGCAGGCACCCTCCCGCAACTGCTGCATTGCCTTCTCATCCCACTTCCAAGGGATAAACACTGATCCCACACAACCAACTGCGACGGCTTGCGTCAGAACGCTAACATCCTCAGCCCTCACAGGATCCTTCCTCATGATACCTTTACATCCGGCGGTCACCAATGCCTTTACTTTGCTTGGACTGTGCTCACCCGGCATCACACGGGCCAAAGCTTGGCTGACCCCCTTGATCGTGTGAAGCTCGAACGGGCCCGAGCACGGATGCTCCTTGGCCTCAGAGATTCCCGCCATCACTTTCTTGGCAGAGGGGCGTGTAGGGGCTACACGATTGCGCAACTCGCTCACACTAACCACCTCAACGTCTCCGTTGTCGTACACTACCTGAAACACGTGGGACCTTCCCCTGCGGCCAGCATACGATGCTACACCCAGCGACCGGGTGGTGCGACGCCCTCTTCCCTTAGACTCTCTCATAACAGCCACACCTTGGAGGTCGCGCAGGTACTTGGGTGGCTCGGGAGCTGCACCCCGCGCAGGTTCGGACGACTTCCCTTCCAAAGCTTCAGCACTAACTCCTTTCGACTCACACTTTGGGCAAATCCATGCGCCCTCCGGTATCTCCTTCAAAGGCGGCTTAAGACAATAAGTGTGCCATCCCGTGCCGCACGCATCACATAACAACATCCATTCTTCACCATCAGGAAATCTGCACACCTCACAGGGATGCCCTGGAGATGGCCTAGCCAATCGCGGGTCGACCACGTGATCATCGATGGGCAAATGACAGGGCGCACAGTGACTGACATGGGCAGTAAGCGTGCTGCCACAGCGTCCCTCTAGCACCAACACCCCGGAGGGCCTCACCTCAGTAACCCGCAGAATATCCGGCTTGGCATGAGGATCCAAACTGGTGCGAGCGGAGGTATTCCGATAATACACGTAGTCACCCATCTCAAAACGACGCAAACGCGGCAAAAAGGCTCCGCCCCTCATACGCGCATAACGGAGAGTGTCACGATGCTGCGCAATGAGTAGGTTGCCGCCCGCCACGGCCATATGTCGACGAAGCGCGGCAGCACGTTGCATAATAGACCTTGCCGCCGCCTCTGGGTCATCCAAACTCACGTCGCTTTCAAAACGCTGCTTAATCGCCGGTGGAATGGTGGGCTCCACGGCGTGCATGACGTGGTACGGCGTAACACGTGATGCTGACTGCACGGAGCAGTTGTAGCCCAGCATGACGTACGGCAGATGCTTGTCCCACTCCTCAACTCCACCGCCAGCATGTGCAATGCGCCGGAGCGCGTTTTTGCAAGTCTGAACAGCACGCTCTGCCAGTCCGTTGGCTTGCGGGTGGTTCGCTGAGGTCTGACGATGATCTATCAACGAATCAATCAACAATTGCGCAAACTCAGCTTTCCACTCACTGCCCTGATCTGTACACACCTCAGCACAGGCCCCATAACGGCCCAAAATGTGGTGCTGGAAGGCGAACGCTGTCTGCTCAGCATACTTGTCAGGCAGTGGAATGAGAACCACATACTTAGAAAAATGCTCCACACAAATCATTACGTAGGTAAAACCCCTGGGGGTCTTCTTGAACGGACCACACAGGTCCACACCCCAGCGGTAGAATAAACCCGATATTGGCAGCGGGTTGAGCTCCAGCGCCCTGGCTGAAAAGCTGGTGTTGACACGATCGCAGGCTGCGCAGTGACGTACCACCGAAGCGACATCGTCGTGCATCCCCTGCCACCAGTAGCTGGTGAGAAGCAGCGCAGTAGTGCGCCGCACCCCGAAGTGCCCAGCCTGCTCGTGGGTGCGCTTGATGATGTCAGTGCGGTCACCAGGTTTAGGAACGACGCGTGGCTTGCCGTCGTTCTCGATGCGATAGAGTGTCTCTCCTTGGAAACGGTACTTGCGTGCGCGTTGAGCACAACGCTTTTGCTCCGCCAGGTCGGTGCCAGGTGGACATTCGCCTGAGCGAAGAAGACAAATCGTGATTTCGTCGTCCCAAATATCCTGACGCCGGGCATCAGGACTGAGAGTCTGATCTTGAGCATGCGCGGCCAGCGCCATAGAGGCCCCACCCATGTCACTAAGAGGGTGAGAGGCCATGCTCACGGCAAGCCCTTGTGAGACGTAAGCACGCTCGTGCACGACGGATCGGCACGATGCTGCGGCAAAGGCTTGCGTCTTGGCATCTTGCGCCAGGGCGCGCAGGATTGCAACAATACTGGATATAAGTGCCTGGTCAGTTGCGTTGGCCAGCACAGAGAGACGAGCATGATCTGTTAGGCCAGGAGCGGCTGACGCCCCTGCATCATAACACAACACGAGGTCACACTCCCCGGGATACAGGGAGTCGTACTGAGCGGTGATACTGTTGTACAACGGAGTGGCGACACTCCCCACAACATCCGAGCCACGCTGCCCCACTGAACCTGGATAAAGCGCGCGGACGGGTTTTCCAGCATGGTCACAGGGGTAGTACGGATCGCGCATCTGACGCGCGAAGATGGGTGCTGAATGCTCACTGCTAAGCACGTCTTGGAGTTGTCTGCCGGCGGGCCGGATTGCAGATTGCACGACACAGGTGAACTCCTCGGGCGACGCGAGGTTACTCCAACACTGGTAAAGACAGTGTGAGTACGAGCCAAAGCGTGCAGCATCGATAAGGGTGGCTTTCCCAAACATCTTGTCAGCATCCTTCTCGGCTGTTTCAGACTCGGGTGTTAGGGCTGAAAGCGGTAGGGACGTGCAGCCAAGTATGCAGGCCGGTCGAGGCGAAGGAACGAGCGCCTGAAGCTCGTTTATCACGCTGAGAACTCCTGGCACTGCGTCAGCTGACTGAGCGTTCCAGAACGCGATAACCAACCATAGGCTACCTTCCTGGGCTCCTGCCAGCCTAAGCTCCGGACCTGTGACTTGCCGGACGTCCTGAGACAGTGCTATAAATGTATCGCTCCATGCTGAGAGCGGAAATAACTGGGGATAGGCAGCGCTGAGTGCTGGCAATCGTGCGGCTGCCACCATCCTTGCATGCTGGTCTACGTCCGAGTACAGATACTTGTTGACCCTAATTCCATTGCGCAGACAGGCCTCAAGGCCCGCGCACATGCCGCCTAGCGGCTCATAAAGGGTGACTCCTTTCTGTGTGGCCAGTGGGAAGAACTGGGCTCCCACTGAAACCTTCAGGGTGTCACGGTCTGTAGGCACCGAGGGACTGATCCCACCGGAACGTTTTGCAGCGGACAGCCACTCAGCTGCGAGGCTTTGCAGCTGGGTCCGGGCTGCGGCTCGCTGAGCATCTTCGGCCTCGGGAGGCGGCTCAAGCGACTCAAAACACCAACCGTTCCATCCGCAGAGATTCTCCTCCGGGCTGGGGCAGAAGGTGTCACTGAATGGGGCAACGGATGCCGCTGTATGGATAGTGGCGCACGCCAGCTGATGGTCAGCCCACGCTGCCCGCACGGATGCAGCAGCGAAGGCCGGGGTGAGAAGTGCGGACTCCCCGACTTCTTAATTCCCGGCCGATGCTCGATGACAAAATTATATTCCTGCAACGCTAGTGCAAAGCGTGCATATTGTCCTGTAAGCCCCTCCGAGCTCATCAGGTACAGCAGCGGTTGATGGTCTGTAATCAGCCTAAACGGAGGGCCGCCGATCAGGTGGTGCCGGAACATCTTCACAGCCCACACAGCGGCCAGCATCTCTCCCTTGTAGCTGCTGTAGTTTGCTTCGTGCTTGTTAAGCGAGCGGCTGATACAAGCACACATGTATTCGTTTCCGTCGTCATCGACTTGCCCGAGGACGGCTCCTATGCCCTTATTGGAGAAATCCGTGTGTAGTATCAGCGGGCGGGAGTAGTCAATGCGACGCAAAATGAGTCCCTCCTTGGTGAATGCAGTCTTGATGGCTTCAAACGCCTCTTGCTGCTTGGGACCCCAGACCCACGGTTCACCTTTCTTGAGGAGCTTGTTCAGATCCGCCGCGAGCTGGCTCGTTTGCGGGACGTAGCAGCGGTAGTAGTTGATGAAACCCAGCTGCGTACGGAGCTCAGACACGTTGCGGGGAGGCTGAAGAGCCATGATTGCGGCGACCTTGGCCTGGTGAGGACTGATCCCAAAGGCACTGAGGTTGTGACCCAGGTACTCAATGACGTCAGCGCCGAAAATTGACTTGTCAGGATGGGCACGGAGCCCACAGGCTGCCAACACGTCGAGTACGGCGGCCACATGCTTGACATGCTCCTCAGGCGTCTGTGACCAAATAAGTACGTCGTCAATGAATGCTACACTGACATCGGCCAGGCCTGCCTTGCCCAGCTCATAATCCATGACGCGCTGAAAGTAGGCGCTGGCATTTTTGAGTCCATACGGCATTCGTGTGTAGGCCATGAGCTTGTTGGAGACCCAGTACGAGGTACGAGCCTGATGCTCAGGCGCTATGGGGATCTGCAAAAACCCCTGCCGCAGGTCCAACTTGGAGAAAATAGTAGCTTTGCCTACGCGCTGGAAAATCTCCTCGGGACGATGCAGCCCATACTTGTCCTGTAGTGTATGCGTGTTGACAGGGCGATAGTCCTGTGCCATGCGGTAGTCGGTCCATAAGCCAGTGTCGGGATCCTTCTTGGCGCGACGACTGGTTGACGGCGCAGGCTGTCGGTCCCTGGTATTCCTTGACAATGCCCGCTTTAACAAGCTCGGCTGTCTTTTCGGCGATGACCTCGCGCTCCTTGGGGCTATAGCGTCGAGGAGGCTGGACAATCGGCTTGTCGGTGTCCAGATCCAGCCTAAAGGGCCCCAAATCACCGTGATAGCCAGGCAGGTCCTCCATGCTGTAGGCGAATGCGGTACGCTTGCGGGCGCGTACGACGGCTTTGAGAGCATCCTTGGTTTCATTGTTCATGCTGATGCTATTGCCCCAGATCCATCCTCCATCAGGATCCTTCTGGTAGCGCTCATA